ATGTTATGCAAGCTCAGGTAATTTTTAGACACATGAATATCGACTACTCAATATGCAATGCATTGAATTATCATTCAGCTGGTATAGACTCTTCCCTCATCATTTATGATGTGGGGTGTCAGTGGAGCATTAATTTTCTACAGAGAGTAGCCCAGAGCAAGGGCTTGTCTGTACCTGAAAATATGCACATCATTCCAGCAGTTGGAAAATTCCATCTTAGCGCTCACAAATTAGCTTGCTTTGCAAGGTACAGCCTCAACTTTATTCAAGGGGCTGGACATGTTGATGGGGAGATTTTGGAGACTCTGTGGGCACCATTCAATAAGATCTCCCCAACTGCTCGGTCAATGAGTCAGGCTCACCGTCAAGAAGTTCTTGATGATCATATGCGAGACTCAAACTGGAAAAAAATAGTGGGAATAAGTAAGCCCTCCAAATTTTGCATTTGAACAAGCTTGACGATTGAGCTTCCAGTGAAGACTCTCTTGAAAAAGTACAAACGGGCTCTCAAAGGTGTTGATGACACAAAGTCTCCCTTTGACGAGCTCACTCTGTCTCTGGACCCTGAGAAGATTTCGATATGGAAGATCGATGAGAAAAAGGCCATGGAACAACGTGGAGAGTATCTTGACATCTATCAGTTGCAGATGAACAAAGGTAAGTGAACTCTGTCTAGTTGTGAGGCTGCTATTCTTGTATAGACATCTGATCAGTATTTGTATCTAGCTCCAACTATGGCAGAGATTAGACTCAAATTAACTGAGTCTGAGAATACCGACACTAGCAAACCTGGGACAGTCTCTTGGCTCATTACTGGCATCAATCTGGAGGATTTACAGTATGTAACCAATAAAAATAGAGAAACCGTTTGACATAGTACTATTTTAGGGATGGACTAAGGGCAGATATTCGACAACTTCCTACTGATGCAACCCCAGGACAGAAAGTTCCTATAGAAGAGAAGCGACAGAGATTGACAGCTAGGATAGCTAAATTTCATGAAACAGCCGATGCCATGACTGCTGGTATGGATCTTGGAACTGCAACAGTGCATTCCGACGATCCTAGATTCTGCTATGCAGGTCATGATGAAAATGGTTGGGGAGAGGTCTCAGATGAAGAGATCTCAGAGTATATTGACGAAGAAATCTTGGCTGAAGAGATGGGTATCTGGATGTCATCATCAGTGCCCTACCAGGATGCATTGGCTCTCGGACTGGGTCCCCTCCAAGCTGAAGAATTAGAACTTCGAAAGGGCCAAGCCAATGACTGCCTCGAAAAGCTTTGAATGGCCCTTGGTCATAAGGCCATCATCTATTGTCAGTATTTTCGAAGTGCTAATTCTACATGGGCTGGGACTAGGTCAAAGCAAGAAGCTCAACGCTGTCAGCTCAAAATTGACAAGTGTGTAAGAAGCTATCAGAGGGCAAGGTCAGCAATGGAAGGTCTAGGCATGGACAAAGCCACCTTGGGGAGTCTTTATCAGCCAATATCGCCTACAGAGCTCAGTATAGACAAAGAGGTGACAGAAGAAAATAGATTTGGACAAGGGTCAGACAGGCTGGCTTGGTTTTGGAGGGGAAATAATGCAAGCCAAGGTCAAGACGATGCCTGGATAGATGAATGTAAGAAAAAATCTTTATCTCTATGATATGTCACTAAAGCTCCAACTGATCTAGTCTACAGGGTGAACTGGTTGAAGGCTAAGGCTAGATGGAATAGATGGCAAGAGGAATTAAGGCTGGTAAGACATGAAATGGGTTGGACCATAAACTGGTTCAAGTACCACCAGAATGAATGGGAGAGAAGGGGTGGCCAAGCCACCAGACCTGGTCATCAAGCCTATGCTTATCAGCAGGTCTTGATGTGGGGAAGATTTGTTGAGGAGGCAGAGAAAAATTTCAATGGATGTCAATTTATACTTTGATCTGGTATACTGTCTTTGCTAGGAAAAATATGACAGGATAATTCTCAATGCTAATGAATGACAAGGTAGCTTAGCTAGCACTAGCTCCACTCTATGTAGTCCACAGCTGGCCGAGATAATTGTATTTAAGATATGGACTGGCCAGATGGTTCCTACAGCATGTATGTACATGGCTGGCCCTTATAAGAGTATATAACTAGCTTATATCTACCCTATGCAGTCCATGTAATTCTGATACCAATAACTGGTTAGCCTTGATTCTACAATAGACAGAATCAAGTCGGCCGGTATGAAATGTTGAAACCAATAACCAGCCAGTCTTGATCATACATGTTGTAGGAACTATCTGACCAGTATACAAATCTGAAACCAATGACTGATCAGCCTTGATTCTACTATTGTACAATTAAACCGAGCAATATTAAAACTAATAACTGGCCAGTCTTGATTCTACATGTTGTAGAATTAAACCGGCCAGGATGCAATGTTGGAATTGAAAACCAGCCAGTCTTGATTCTACTGTTGTAAAATCAAACCGGCCGGAATGCAATGTTGTGATTGAAAACCGGCCAGTCTTGATTCTACTATTGTACAATTAAACCGGCCGGGATGCAATGTTGTGATTGAAAACCGGCCAGTCTTGATTCTACTATTGTACAATTAAACCGGCCAGGATGCAATATTAAAACTGATGACTGGCCAGTCTTGATTCTACATGTTGTACAAGCTATCTGGCCAGTATGAAATTCTGTAACTAATGACTAGTATAGAAATTACAAAACAATAATTAGCTAGTCTTGATTCTACTATTGTACAATTAAACCGAGCAATATTAAAACTAATAACTGGCCAGTCTTGATTCTACATGTTGTAGAATTAAACCGGCCGGGATGCAATGTTGGAACTGATAACTGGCCAGCCTTGTTTCTACTGGTGTAAAATCAAACCGGCCAGGATGCAATGTTGGAACTGATAACTGGCCAGCCTTGATTCTACTGGTGTAAAATTAAACCGGCCAGGATGCAATGTTGGAACTGATAACTGGCCAGCCTTGTTTCTACTGGTGTAAAATCAAACTGGCCAGGATGCAATATTAAAACTGATAACTGGCCAGTATGACATTCTGTAACTAATGACTAGTACTCGTATAGAAATCCCAAACCAATAATTAGCCAGGCTTGATTCTTCTATAGGATTAAACCGGCCAGCTTTAATTCTACGGTTGTAGAATTAAACTGGCCAGGATGCAATGTTGGAACTGATAACTGGCCAGTCTTGATTCTACATGTTGTACAGGCTATCTGGCCAGTATGCAACTTAATAACAAGTGACTGGCTGACTTGATTTTACAACATGTAGAACCAAGACTGGCCAGTTATCAGTTTCAACATTGTGTCCTGGCCAGTTTGATTCTTGATTCTACAACAGTGGAGTCAAGGCTGGTCAGTCATTGGTTACAGAATTGCATACTGGCAAGCTTGATTCTACCTGCAGTGAAATCAGGCCAGCCAACTAGCTAGCTGAATTCTATATCTTGCAGGCATAAAGCTAGCCACTACCACTGATGGTAATCATTTATATATATATTAACACTAAACACTAATTCTACATACTCCGGCCAGCTGTATTATACATTTTGTAGGCATAAGGCTAGTTATTGTGTTTACAGTAATTCTAATATGTATATATCTACACCAGTCAACACTGATTCCACATACTCCGGCCAGCTGGAGTTTGCATACTCCGGCCAGTGACTGGCTGGCCATGATTCTACAGACTTTTGGCACATCCGGAGCCAGGGTTCTACATGGAAAGTGACTGAAGGGTCTGCGCTAAGGCCAGCTTCTTTTAGTATCCCACAAACGTCCCATGTATACGCATTTCCGTCGTAGCTGCCAGTGGCTAATAGCTTTCCATCTGCCGAAAATGACACAGAAGCCACGGCACGTGGATGCTGGAGGGGCGAACCGATGGGCAGGTTATTGTCCAGGTTCCATAACCGTACTGTGTCGTCCAACGATGCGCTTGCAAGGATGCGGCCATTCAGAGATATTGCAATGGATGAGACAAAATAAGTGTGCCCATCCAACACTGTGATCTGTTTGCGAGTTGAAGTACTCCATGTCGTAATCCAGTTGTCCTTTGATCCGGTCCCTGATATAAGTGTTTTTCCATCCGGAGTCCAAGCCAGGCACCACACCGCAGTGTAAGCTTCAAGAGTAGCGACAAGCTTGCCTGTCTTGGCATCCCAAATTTTGACATGCTGTTCGGAATTTTGGGATCCGCTAGTTGCAAACATGGTCATGTCTGGCGAGTAGACGAATGTATACACCACATGTTCGTCCGACCCTGTCTTGATTGGTGCAAGGTTTGCCTCTCCGGTCTCTACATCCCATTGTCTTGCAGTCCCATCTTCAGATCCGCTCAAGACTCGCTGACCGTCTCCACTCCAGCAGACAGAAACCACCAGTTTTGTATGCCCCATCCAGTTCACGATGACTTTGCCTGTGTCCATGTCCCACAACCTCACTCCGCCATCCTCACTCCCGCTGACCACTCTCTTCCCGTCCGGAGACAACGCTATGGTGTACACTGGACTGTCACCGTCCCGCCAGTCGTCTCCTATCTGTTTCCCACTCTTCAAGTTCCATACTCGCAGCGAGCCGTCCGCTGAACATGTCATTATCCGTTGTCCGCCTGGTAGATGTATGGCACCGAAGACACAATTGGTGTGTCCCTCAAATTTCTGGCGAGGTATGATCCTCGAGGTCTTCTGTCTTTCAACTTGAACGATGGGCGCAGACATCTAGGCGGAGCTCCGTTCCAGCTTTCATCTGACAAAGTTTAGAATCACCACTTACAACGATATGTTCGCAGGTCACGACGTGTTGACAGCAAGACACAACGAGCGTCAGTGCACTGGAAGTTTAAACTGGGACGTCCTCGTGTTCGCTTCACAGCTTCTAGCAGGCCGTGCAACTGAAGCGCCCAAGCCTCGTTTCTGATCAACCGAGTCACCGTCCTAACTCCCATGGTCCATATACCAAATTGCGCCTCATTGCCCTTGCTATGTCTTGCAGGTGATCTCGTCCTTCACGTATTCTTCTCGATCTCGTCATGGATGCTGCTCCTCTAATCGCAGTAAACGAAACTCGTCCTCGGCCGCAGATATCGGAGCACTTGGCCAGGGTTGAATGAAGCTGGAAAGCATCAATATTTTCCAGGACATGGTCGCCTTGATCAAGCTCTTGAGCACCAAACATCAATCGATGCATTCTTCAAGGGTGAGCCATCTGTGGCATGGATCATCCAACGTTGTACTAATTCTCGTAACAGGCACTGATTGAATATTGAGTCGTCACCAGCCGCCCGTCGTTCACAACCGAAATACAACATCCGCGCTGTCAACAAATACAATGTAAAACGTATACCTATCCCAGTCCGTGACTTTGTTTCCGATCCTCGTCTCATCGTTATTCATTCCTTCGATGCCATCAAGCCTGGTGCAGAGGTCGATGAGCTCAAAAGTGGCGTCCCCAGTGGTTCTGTCTTCACAGACGTCCTACTGGCTAGGCAAGAAGTCCAGATTCGTCCGGTGAAAAACACTCAGGGCCGGATCCGCTGCAAGACCATTTTTAGCAGGATCGTCTCTCTGCACGCCGAGAACAATCACTTACAGTTCCAGCTGATTGGTATTGGAACCAAGATCGAGCCTGCGCTGTGCAGAGCAGATCGTCTCGTTGGTCAAGTATTGGGCGCAATTGAGAAGCTCTCGAGGGTCTATACTGGTGAGCATCCTGGTTTTGGATATGCTATCCCGTTCTAAAGAGAATCTAGAGCTTGAAATGTGTTCGTTCTTTCTCTGCCGTTTACTGGGCATTCGTATAGAGGAGAAGAAAGAAAGAAAGGTCTCGAAACTCGCCAAGAACGAGCTCCTGCTGATCGACATTGGGTCGACATTGGCTGATGGGCGAGTATTGGAGAGGGGATCTCGTGAAGGTTCAACTGACTTTACCCGCATGTACTGAGGTTGGAAAGGAAGTCACGCTTTTGAGACGTGTCGAGAATCGTTGGTGGCTTGTGGGCAAGTGTTTCTGTCGACTTAGTACACTGATTCGCTACCTACTTGATGTGATCGGAGCCAATCTACATATATATCATTTGACAAGAAAACGGACGGAATGCATTACTGATGATCATGGGTATACTCAGAAGCGTAAGGAAGTCATAAGAAATGACAAAGGAGATCTTTAAAAGATGAAAAAAGAAACAGGGTAGATTAATGATGACCGTCAGTATACTCAGAAGAGGAACAACATATAAAGAGCCAAAGACGAGTCCAGCGTCCAGCGTGTCTGATTATGACGTGAGGATTGGTGTTTGGAGTTGTGTTAGTGACCACGGGAGGTGGGGTGGCAGTGGAGACAGCAGCCTGTGCTTGCGAAGACTGGACTTGAGAAGCGCCATTAGAATGTTGTGCGGTATTGCCATTGGGAGGAAGTGAGGTGCTTGCGGCAGTGTTCCCAGGTTTCAATGGAATGATTTTCATTCGTCTTTCTCTTGCTGATGCGTTCCTCTGTGTTGTATGAGATGGGATTTGAATATTCGAAAAGGAAGAAGACTACATACACGTTTTCCCTTGGCATATGGAACATCGACTACTGCTGAGGGACGTTCATCGAGCTGGATATCTTCACCGGTTGGTCTCCCAGAGAGACGACTTCGAACCCAGTGGAAAGGGCGGGGTCGCGAAGACGTATCGTGGGCGTCGGTGTGGAATAAAGAGGAAAACCGGTCACGAAGGGTGTGCGATGCGTGCTGAGAACATGCAAGTCAGAAAAAACAGTCCTGGATTAGATGTCAATGACGTACGTGAGCCCGATCTGGTAAGTCATCAAAAAAACCATCGGGCACCTGGCGCTGGGGGGCGATGATTGGCTGACGGACTGGACGTGGTGTAAGCTTAGTATCAGCCTAGAAGGAATAGGTTCAATTGCGATAGGATCTCAAATTAAGAGCGTTAGATTAAAAGTGCACTGGAATTTCAGCAGGTCAAGAGCGTTAGATTAAAAGTGCACTGGAATTTCAGCAGGTCAAGAGCGTTAGATTAAAAGTGCACTGGAATTTTGAGCTGGCGTGTCCTCGTGTTCGCTTCACGGTTTCTAGCAGGTTATGCGACCAAGCCCCGCCTCCTGTTGAATTCAACGTCGTCATCGCTCGTGGCAGTGGCACGCCATCGTCATTTTCCTTTTTCATCTTTGGTATTCCGGACTCAATACGTTAACAAGCAACTTTTAGCCGGTACCTAGCCACGTGACCTAATATTTTGCTACCACTTGCTGTATCTTAGACCAGGTCCACGACACACCTGTACCATAGTGCTACCCGCAAGGGACAATCGACACCACATAACCATGTCAGACTGGGGTAAAAACAAGAATCTGTTCAATCATATCTCCTACAACGCTCACCACGATCAAGCACAGAATCCGATGATGCTCCTGCCCCTACTGCGGCCTCGATCGCGACCAAGATAGCCGTAAAGAGCAAATGGGAGGGTGAAGACGAAGAGGAATCATCTCCAGTCGTACGTCGTTACCATCTCCTCCCTTATTCACCTCACCGATCTTACCAGAGCGATTGGGACGCATCCTCGGACGAATCCTCAGACGACGATAAACCAGCAGCAGCACCCGTAGCACCCCCAAAAAAGAAAGGCACGGTGAAACAGAAGATAGCGGAGAAAGAAGCTGCGAAAGCTGCACTAGCGGGCAATGATGATGTGGAGTATGATGAAGACTCTGTCCTTGATCCGCGCGACAAGGCGAGGTTGGATAGGGAGCGGGAGATTAAAGCTGATTTGGATAATGCTGCTGCGCTTTTTGGTGCTGCTGGCCTCGGAGGTGGGTTTTAGGCTCGGAGTTGAATTTAGGTTGTTGGTTTGCGCGTTTTCAGCTGATCCCTTCGCGCCTGTGTTTGCAGGCACCTCATCATCCGATCTAGACGCGCTGATTTCCGCCGATCCCCGCACAAAAGAGGATTTCCAGGATTTCTCAGCAAGAATCATCGAATTCATCGTTAAGCAACATGAGACCAAACCTTTGTACGCGTCATTCGTGGAGCATCATGTCCGAGAGCTCTGTCAGCCTTTGAAGGACGTGGAGATCAGGAAAGCTGCGAGTGGGCTTACGACGCTTGCTAATGAGAAGCAGAAAGAGCAGAGAGACAAAACGAGCGGGAAGAAGAAAGTCAAAGCTGCTGCGAAGCCTGTCCTAGGCTCGGCGAAAGTCGCCAACAAGTGAGCATATTGTTTTGATCAGTCGTTGCGATCGCTGATTGGTTGTAGATTTGACACGGGGGTGTATGATGAAGCGCTGGATGATTTCGGTACCAACCAAGACGATTTTATGTAGAACAGTACCTATGCATCTACTATATTACGTTTGAGTAGATTTGTCTTTTTAGTATGAGCTGATATGTCAAAGCTCAGTCGTCCTCGTCTCCTTCGTCTTCGCTCGCTTCGTCATCGTCGACGAGGCCTACTAACCCTCCGCCTTCTTTTTCCTTCAGAACGCGCCCGGCTTCGCTGAGCTTCGAAGCGAATGCTCTTCGTGCGCCGGAGTTAGCGCCGACGTCCCATATCTGTAGCTTCGCTCTAGAGCCTGCTGCAGCGATCGTAAGGGGGTCGTCTGGTGAAAACACCGCTGAGAAGACTTTGCCCTAAAATCACGAATCAGCACATGATATTGATGTGACGACGGAATCAAATAAAATACTGACCACTTCCATATCTCTTGACGCAACCATGCTCACAGCAGGCTTGCCTCCAGCGGTCTGGTCTACGTTCCACACTTTGACGAGTTTGTCCGTTCCTCCCGTGCATATACAACCCCGTAGCAATGGGCTGACGTCAAGAGCCGATACGGCACCATCATGAGCAGAGAGCGTAAACCGTGCTGGTGAAGGGGATTTTATATCCGTAGGAAGCGCCCGAGCATCAAAGTTGAGCACGAGGCCATTTTCTAACGAGACCTAAAAACCCCTCAACGATTAAAACATTTGACAACGAATCAAGATTGACACTCACGTAAAACGCATGCGTTTCCCAAGGATCCCATCGCAAAGCCTCAACATCGGCCCCAAGCACAGCCCCAACACCCGTGTCCGGCGCCCTAGAATCAAACACCCGAACCGTCCTATCATAACTTCCAGACAAAAGCACTGTCGGTTCTTTCTCGTTCCATTGCACAGCTTGCACCTTATCCTTGTGCACCCCAAAGCTCCTTATCGCTCCCTCCCCATCCACGATCGGACGTGACAAATCCCATAGCTTCACTGTACGATCCGCAGATGCGCTCGCTAGCATGTGCCGATGGCTGCGGTTCCATGAGAGCCCGAGGACAGCGTCGACGTGGTATGCGTTTGATGAGGGACGGTGTTTTGTCTTTTTGCGCTTCTTTTTACCTGTGCCCGCTGGGACGGGTACATGTGCAGCTGTTTGATCAGGTCTGCCGAGGATCATGTCGGGGTACATGCTTTCCACGATATCTAGTGACCATATTTCGATTTCAGGATCGAGCGTGCCGACTGCGATGTAGTTTCCGAATTTTGGTGGGGTGTCAGTGTCCATTTCTGAGGATGTAGGTGGGAAGTCTAGCCATTCGAGGCAGAGGGGGAAGTTTGGGAGCATGAGGTCGTGATGGACGTAGAGGTTGTCTTGGGATTCGTCGTAGACGTAGATCTCGAGTTGGGAGACATCGTCTTCGGTTTTTGCGGTGACTAAGAGGTTGTCTGTTGGGAGGATTTCGAGTTCTGAACGCTCATCATCTTCAACATCCTGTATAGCGTTAGATGCAAATAAGAGAGAGGTAAAACAACCGCACCTCTTTGAGTGTGATGTATGGATCGTCTTGGTTATCCCTATAAAATGTAAGTCCTTTAATATTGCTAAATGGACCCGTGCCTGTTAAACATCAGCATCACTGAATAGACCGTGTCTACAGACGTACCATCTTCTTTGACATCATCATCGTCATACTCATCCAACTTATACTGCGCAAGATCATCCCCCTTTTCAGGCACATCAACCGGTACATCCCCGTCCACCTCCATCGACGCATCCTCCTCGCTTTACAATACCATCAGCAAACATCACAAGGAGTAAAAACAAAATCACGCACTCGACCCATGCATCTTCATCACCATCCTCATCCGCATCATCCGCCTCAGCACCTTCCGCGCCCTTGCCCATACTCTTAGCAGCATTGTGCGCACGCTCCATCTCTATCCGCGCATCCTCGAGCTCGATACGTGCGAGTGTACTGACGCGCTCGAGTTCCTTCTCATCGAGGACGTATTTGGAGGGCTGGTGGGCTGAAATGCCTCGTTTGACCCTGGAATTCGAGTTAGATATGTGAGATGTGCGAGACGGGGATTGGTTACCATGATACACAGGAGATGAGGTTGCTCATCGTTTGTGATGATGAGCAGCGAATCTAATTTTTTGTGATCGTAGTCACGTGATATTTGAAACTTGAATTGCCCATCACCGTGCCACGGTTCTGTTCAGCTATTTCTGATCGCCGAAACTTTCAACAGTTAACCGGAACCTCCGACTTCGAAGCCTAAGCAGATGGACAGTTATAGAATTTTCTTAGAGCACCTTTAGGCTCCCACTCAATTATGGATTCATTGGAAGTGGAGCAAAATCGACGATCAACTTGAAGTGCCAGTGGATCTGTTTTTCAGTGACTTTCCTGCGCGTCTGTCTAGATGTGTACCTGGCCGCCAAGAATGTACAGCAGTCATACAGCAACCGGACAAGCGCTTTCACGCTGCTACCAACACCACCATCACCACCATCACGCCTGCAGGCTGGAACCGATTGAAATATTCTACTAGTCGATCTCCATTGACGAGCAGCTCTTACACCCCTGATCAATTTGTTGCCCAGCTGAACCATATTGTTCCCTGTCTTTATCTTTTCCTAATCTACCCCGCCCAAATTCAATACGTAGGTCGTTTATCGATATCACCATTCTTCCTATGGTTTCTAACCGCAGTGCACAACTCGACAGTACTTCCTTTGGTTCCTTCGTCCTGTCCACCTTCGTCAGTGAGTCAGGGTCATCAGTGGTCCCATCTTCTTCCCTTCTCCCGTTGAACTTCAGGATCAGTAGGCCTGGGCGATGATTTCGTGACTGATCACGCCAATTGTGCGAAGCACCTCTTATCTAGAATGTAACTGTCGATTCAGAGTGTTTGAGTAAGCAGGTTAACAATACTAGTACAGCGCACTACAACTACAGACCATACCATACCATCAATTCCACATGCCCTGAGCATACAGGCCCAGTATATCGCTAGCCAGCGTCGGACTATACGATGAAACATCAGCCATCGTGTAAGTCTTATCCTTCTGTAAGCCATTGAGGATGCCAATAATCTCCTTTCCAAGGAAGTTTAGGAAGACAACATCAATAGGTGTGTCGGCCGTCACGTTAGGGGGATTTGAGCCAACGTAGAATGGAACATCGTAGTTGGGCAACGGGGTGTGTAGTGTATCGTCTGCTTTATCAGCGTCGGGGCATGACTAAACAAGTGTTGTGAGCATAGAACAAGCGCGGCGTGGAACTCTTACATCTCTCGTGACATAACCAAATGATGCTTGTCCACCGACTCTAGGATGGTCGTCTATCTCCTCCAACCTGGCACTGTCCGCAGTATCATCGATTTCATGGCTGGAAAATACATCTTGGGTTTCATCTCGTTTCTGTTGTATCGCCGCCGGTTTGTTCATAGCAGGGAGCAATTGGTTTGCGATCCCAGATGTAACATTGGCAATGTATAAGAACGAATCCTGATACGGCATGATCGTCAGTTGATCGTTCTTGGTGAACGGTCCCTTTAAGAGGTCGAAGCGTAGAGCCCATGAATCGATGATAATGATGTTTGGAATGGAATCGCGAGTGTTGTTGATAGCGAGTGCGTATGGGACAGCCTAGTGAACGCGTCGATACCTGCATAATTTACTTCACTACAAACTTGGCACTTACATTTTCGACGAAGAAAGATACAAGAGACCCGTTGGAAGGATAAGGGTTACTAGCGCACAATGGTTGAGCTTGAACGATAATACTACATAATGGGCACCCACTAAGACAAGGTATAATCTTGCTGAGCTGTTCCGTACAGGTGGGACAAGTTAAAGCGAGCCGCAAGCTCCTCTAGGCCACGGGTGATCGATCGTCCGTGGTCGGTGTCAAATGATCGGTTTGAGGTTCGAGTGTGGTACTAAGTATGAGTCATGGGCAAGATTAGGCTAGCGGTTGAGAGCCAACAGTTCGGTGAAATACCTCGTAGGTCACGCGGTTCTGGTCAAGATATCTCCTTGTGAAAGTAACGTTGTTACGGTTGTGCTTGGCAGCATGGAGGTCCGCGCCTAATTTCCTGGTGTTAGGTGTCTGAGGTACAGTATTGTTATAACATCGTACTCATCCAGCCTAGAAGATCGTGTCAGACAATACTCCTTATTCATATTCATATTTGCAGTTTACGCACCGATTGTTTCCATGTAGCGCCCGCTTTCGATACCCATGGATCGACCATCGTACTGTGTACAATCACGGATGTGGGTATGTCCTAGATCTACAATGAGCATGTGATTTGGAACGATCAAGATAGTGGCCTCCACCTCCAAATATTAGTATGGGTGTTAGAGGGTGCACGGCCCGTACAGCGTTGACGACAGTAGGCCCTGGATGAACATTTTGTTGGATTTTCGTTTGACAAACATTTCAATGACATACAGCTATCATTGGAAACAGGCATGTGTCTGCAGTCGCATTAATGGAATATTTCCTTCGGCAACAAGGAATTTGCCTACCCGATAAGCACAAACGCGTCAGGCTCTTCTGCAATGGCCTCAATGAACTACAAACAGAAATCAGGATGCCATGTTTCAATCACTCAAACGCATTGAATAACGTACCCACTGCTCCTTGACCATATCACCGACAGCTTGCACAGTCGTGTTCACATCGTTCCCAGTAAAATCGAATATGACTCCCAGAGAAGTGATACGACGGCCTCTGCCGTGTCGAATGAATAAGAGTCCCTCCTCGAAGTTAACATGTTCACTTACTTCCTTGTGGTGAACTTGGTGTAACGGTCTGCAGGGATAAACGTTGGCAGCAGCAACAATCGTTTTGAATCCGAACTCACTGCCTACTGGGACACTCTCAGGCTTGCCGTCTGAATTAAAAACAGTGATGTTGACGTTAGAGGTCAAGTACCGCCCAGCGAGGTGGGGGACAAAGTTGGTATACCTGCAGAGCATTCATGGCATTTTGGTAAGCCGTTTCCGAATTTGCGAAGATGTTCGTGGGACATTCGTCCATAGAACAAGTATTGAGTGATACAGACAGTCAGTAGTGTGAGCATACCAAACACAGTTAATGGAGAATAGAAAAGACGCATCATATAATGCGGGACGTGACAAAAGAAGAAGAAAAGCAAATTTTGTGTCAGTTAAAGAAGATTCGTTCAAAATGGTTATAACGTACATATCATACGTATCTGCATAACCATACAATTCGTGGCTATAAAAGGGAGATCGAGGAGACGAATTAGGAGAGGACTCGGACTACAAATCCAACACCCACTTTCCGATGGTCATGAGATCGTAGGGGAGGCGCTCAATGAACTTGTTTGACTATAAATGGCGCATCCAACATGTCAGCATTGGTTATATATCACCTATGAATAGAACGGACCTCGTGTGCGTCGACATCACCGGGAGGATATCCATCAGAAAGACCGGTCCCTGGGAAACGTGAGTCGGATTGTGTTTCAGACAATGAGTGATTGCACATACCGTCATGTAGATCACCTGAGTCTATCAAAAGAAGGTCGACGTCCTTATGCTGCAATAGGAATTATACATGATGAGTGCACGAGTTCAGATTGATGGACGAACGAGGGCGATTTGCTTCATGTGAGTCACAAAGCTAGCAAAGTCTCCGAGATCCCCACTAGTAGAATTCGCACGAGGTGGGTGAGTGACGGTGGCTCGAGGTAGTTGCACTGTGAACACCAACCTGTAGTATGGTTCAGCCCAGGACGTCTTCTGGTGCCCGAGTAGCCAACCATGGGTATCGGTGGTGTGGATCACGTTCAAGTCTCCCCAGACAAGAGGACGGTATGGAGGTGTGAGTGGAACCTGCGGGTACTCACGGCTTTCCAAATGTTCATGAGCATGGCTGTCGCGAGCGTGCAAGTGATCGCCCGCGCAAGCAGCGCTACGGAGTGCAAGACCCAGGAGAATAGCAGGAGTTAACTTGAAAATCATACTGGAGACCCCTGAAATTGATACTCAAAATATCACTGCCTTTATACCACAATGTTTTCGGAACTGACCTCGGATATGAAAGATGCTTTCTGACAGTTTGAGGTGGGGCCCCTCCCCCCAATTGCCTAACCTTCAAACAGCTGGTCTGCATCATGGATATCAAATGGACGACATGGCCCGGCAGTGACAGAAGTGCCATGATGATCATGGAGGAACTTCAGTGTTCAAAGTCGACTCGTTTACAGAAATTTGACAAACCGAATCCCACTGTCGGCCACCCGGTTGACATATTCAGACGAGCTATTTCAAATGACGGACGCAGTGGTTGGGAAGTTCGAAGGATTTGTTATTTATAATTTGGTTCGGTCTCTTGAAGGTTACCGGATTAACTTTTGAACCTTTAGCCTTGCTTTAGCCCCTTCCAGTCCATCTTTGACGAACACTTAGCTTGACTCCTGCTTTGGAGATTACGGTACAAAGCATCGACCAGAGAAGAATTATCTGAATCTACATCACTCAATCCGGAACAATGTAATCCCCTTGCTCATGCCCGCGGTGCCTTATTAATGAACAAATTCAATCTCCTCGTGTTGTCCTCGTGTTCTGGCACCCTGTCTCCTTGCTCGGCTTACCGTCTTCCAAGTTACGGGCCATCGGACTCGTAGATGCCGATATATCATGATCGCGTATAGAAAACTTGAAGATTGGAGAGAGAATTTCTACATTTCTATACCACAACAAATAACTAAAATTGTTAAGACCATCAGACGCGGCGCTCTGCGGGGTGTATCAATACGAACAGCTGGCGAGGTCCGTGTTTGTGATATAGGTTTGTTATATGCAGAGAATAATCATATATAATGAATAGAGTTCTAAGATGTCGAATCACTCAACTTGAAGCTGCCATCAGGGATCCCACGGAGTAACTCCATCGCCGTCGCTCAGTCATCCACATTCAAGCGCAAACGTGTACGATCTTGGCTGTCGCGAGTACGTCTTCCTCTTAGAGACGCGGCACATGCGTTGTTAAGGATAGGTACATCGGCCTTCTACCTGCGATCCAACTGCATGAGTAATATAAGTTTCAAGAAACAAGAGAATACCCACAGTCTATGTTTTTATCGAGGATGAAATATTTAGTCACAAGCCGACTCGCACCCGTGTCAAGGTTCGTCAAGGTTGTATTTGAACAGGTCTTGCATACAAACAAATCCGATATCTGAAGTTTGGGTTGACCAGGCGGACCAAATTCAAACCCCAGGAAATAGATTACATACCATGCATCACATGTCAGTCCTCCTACATGCCCTGAAAAACATATCACTTTCACCGCTCCCCAAAATCTGCAGCAGTGGAATTGCGCATCATGGCCTTGAGCGAAGTTAGACAGGGACTGAGAGACGACAACGACTCGGAATGGAGGTAAGAAGGGTGGGAGTAAACTTTGAGTAAACTCTAAAGTCCCTCTATCCACCACTACCTTTTTGATTGTGCTTAATACAGACAGGAATGCCACTTCTTCGCCAATGCCCTCCGTCGCGATGCCACCTCGATCTCCTACATCCTCACATCCGAAAAGGCCATCCCACACCTCAGGCCTCAGCAGCGAGTCGGGACGCTTCAAGCCGACCTTCGGTGAGCTGTAGATATTTGCCAACTAATTGTCCCACACAAATAATTATACTCCACGACAAAAGGGTGGTCGCGTCTCACCGCGTCGCTATCGGCACCAACAGAAAACTAGTAGACTCATTGGAATAGAAGAACCGAACCGCAACGTTACAACGCACGTTCAGCCATCACTCGCGAACTCTAACTAATACTTCTTCGCCGCAGTTCTCCTTTTGTACTTACTTGCGTCGCCCCACCTCTGATGCAAAAAAAAAAAACTTTAAAGTCCGATTTACATAGCATCACCAGGGCTATGGTCACCTTCGATGCAATACGTTCCACTCACTTTTTGACTTCTCGCACTGCATATGACACATGAGGCCTCAGTATCATTTCCTAACAACCTGAACTCTTTCAAGTTGCTAGTGCACGAGTAATAGGTGTGTAGCCTACGCTCGTAATAATGCTTTCTTCGCGTTGCCTTATGTTAACAAGCTGCTGTACCTCGTACTTGTCTGCCTACAAAGAGTTAACAATCTAGGCATAGCCAGCAACCTCCGTAGCTGCACCACCTGAACTCGCCCGAGCTAGAACAAAGTTTAACGATTTTCTATATAAGGAACCAGGCGACCGAGTCGATCATTGATCAAGGGATCGTCAACTTTCACACCCACGTTGCAATATTAAAGATTCTGCACTTACCACTCATTAATTATCCTTATCGCATAGCCTACCACAGCCCGATGACCGAGGAAGAGGACGCGAATTGCCTGGAAGCGGAGCCTACGCAACTGCAACATCTATGCGGAGTGCACAACTACCTCGATCCCATTTCGGTTCTCGAGAAAGCACTGGATAGTGGTGTACGTATATATAGCGTGAATGTTGTTGTCATACGTCTACCAAGTCCGCCTCTCACCCACATCCATTCTCTCCTAATATGACCATAGTCTTAAATGATCCCACTTGGTGGCCGATCATCAATGCATATCGGTTTTCCAGCTATTTTTCAGGTTCGTGGAGAGCGGTTGGATGTCACGGTCGAAGCTCATTCTAACCTTGATGATGGTTTCGCAGTTGCGGCATTTGTTGGACTGACATATGATTGGGGTGAGCATGATGATATTAAAGGGATGCTGATATCCTACAACTTGAAGTATTTTCAGCACTTACATTCGGACAAGAGGTATGTCGATCCTATGACCGGAGCAGCCTTCCCTCTAAGAATGCTTTTATAGGTCGAATTGGTCTGGGTGAGTGGAGTCTCATGTCACGGGGACAACTATGAAAATACGCTTCATTACAGAAGCAACGCTGGTCCCTAATGACAGTCCTGTATCTCAGCGTATGTGGCTTGCCTGTCGTCGTTGTCATGTCGTGCTGACTTGAAAGTATCCTAGGTGCGCTACCTTGGAATCTTATATGCTGTGTATGTTTGGAAGGCTAAATATCCGATGTCGCGCTAATTGTATATCTCTCATAATCAGCCTGGGCATCCTGAGTATGTCTCCTTAATACATTCACTGTCTTCGCTTCGTCTGACTAGCGGCATACAGTTCATGTTCCCACCATCTCGCTGACAGGTACAGTGAGTCTTCTGCACAGATATCTGCTATATCTCTCCAATTAACCGTGGTGCCCTGTAGGAGTGGGTGTTGTTCTTTCCTAACTTTCTAGTTCTCTAATGACGGCCACACGATACTTCCATAGATGTGAGTCTGTTTGGAGTGTGTGCTAGTGCTAGTCACTGAATGGATTCCTCAGGCTTGATTGTGTACAACCTATGGAATTGTACGAGTGTCCTGGTATTCACAATGCTGTGGGGTGAGCTTGGCACTTGCGAGACCTCAGTGATATTGACTTGACTGAAACATGCTGCAAGTCATCAGCGTCACTCGGTTGTATGCCATGCATCAAGGATCCAGAAAGATCCTGATACTTCTCATTGCCACCCTCCTGCTTGTCGACATTTTCGATGTGGTGGCAGCTGTACTGGAAAACCTACATGTTTCAGGGGGTACGCTTAATTGTGAATGAAAAATAACGTGCATGGGGCTCACTGATGAATGCCAGAGGAACTCATTCTCTCCGGCACTCATCAGTGCTTGATCGGCAGCTACTATGAGGAAGATATCCCACTGCTGAATTACATTTCTTGGATGGTCTCCATTGCGTGGGAGGTCCTCGCACTGTCTCTCGCAGTTTGGATTGCGGTAAAACACTTCCGTGAACTGCGACGACATTCGGCAGGAGGGATTATCGGGGACTGTTTCACGGTGTTGATGAAAACTCACGTGGTTTACTTTGCGAGGTAAGCTCATATTGTGATTATTGTTCCTACTTTTCCACTGAAGGGTCGGACGTGGTAGCTTTGTTGCCGTTTCTTGCATTAACCTCATTCTTGATTTCGCTCCAATATCCTCAGCGGTATGTCAATATTTTTCACTGACTTCTGCATGCGACTACGATTCATCGTTTCTATAGGACCAGGTTTCCCTGGGAAATGAGACTTTTGGTGGCTTACTTCAGATTTTGGAAGTCGTACAAATGTTTGTGCTGGGACCACGACTGATCCTTGGCGTTCGAGAATTTAACGCTAAACTCGTGGCTGACTCCGACGCGGCAACCGGCATGATCTCAATCGTTTTCCAAGAGCGTGTGCATATATCGACTAGCAGTAGTGTGTAATGCTCAGTGAAGTTGACGCGGATAGTTGACTGGTGCTTGCAGGGAGCACGGGAAATTTGTTTTTTTGGTCTCTATTCCAAGTCTTGTTGCGGTGCTCAAGTAATTATTTGGTGTAGATTTCAAAGAGACAGGTTTGGGCAGTATTCTCTTTGTATTATGTATTCGAATTATTTGTTATAGGTCCTGACATTAACAATCATCTCAACCAATATCCTGGATATCCCTAATGTACTAACGAAGGAAATGAGTGTACTGAACGGGAAAGCGGAGAAGTGAGATATGCTTATAGGCGATGTCGCCGGAACGTTAGGGTGCAAGTTCCAATTAGCTTTTGCTGGATCAGTAGGCCTGGGCGATGATTTCGTGACTGATCACGCCAATTGTGCGAAGTACATCTCTTATTTAGAATGCAACTGTCGATTCAGAATGTTTGAGTAAGCAGGTTAACAATACTAGTACAGCGTACTACAACTACAGACTATACCATCAGTTCCACATGGCCTGAGCATACAGGCCCAGTATATCGCTAGTCAGCGTCGGACTATACGATAAAACGTCATCCATTGTGTAAGTCTTATCCTTCTGTAAGCTGTTGAGGACGCCGATAATCTCCTTTCCAAGGGAGTTTAGGAAGACAACATCAATAGGTGTGTCGGCCGTCACATTTGGGGTGTTTGAGCCAGAGTAGAGTGGAACCGGGTAGTGGGGCAACGGGGTGTGCAGTGTATCGTCTGCATTATCAGCGTCGGGGCATGACTAAACAAACAAGTGTTATGAGCATCGAACAAGCAAGGCATGGAACCCTTACATCTCTCGTAACATAACCAAATGATGCTTGTCCACCTACTCCAGGACGGCCGTCTATCTCCTCCAACGAGGCACTGTCCCGAGTATCATCGACTTCATAACTGGAAAATACAGCTTGGGTTTCATCTCGTTTCTGTTGTATCGCCGCCGGTTTGTTCATAGCGGGGAGCAATTGGTTTGCGATCCCAGATGTAACATTGGCAATGTATAAAAACGAATCCTGATAGGGCATGATTGTTAGTTGATCGTTCTTGGTGAACGATCCCTTCAAGAGGTCGAAGCGTAGAGCCCATGAGTCGATGATAATGATATTTGGAATGGAAGCGCGAGTGTTGTTGATAGCGAGTGCGTATGGGATAGCCTAATGAGCGCGTCAATACCTGACTTCACTACAAACTTGGTACTTACATTTTCGACGAAGAAAGATACAAGAGACCCGTTGGAAGGATAAGGGTTACTAGCGCACAAGGGTTGAGCTGGTGGTTTGAGTGATAATACTACATAATGGGCACCCACTAAGTCAAGGTATAATCTTGGTCAGCTGTTCCGTACAGGTGGGACAAGTTAAAGCGAGCCGCAAGCTCCTGTAGGCCATGAGTGATCGATCGTCCGTGGAAGGTATCAAATGTTCGGTTTGAGGTTCGAGTGTGGTACTAAGTAGCAGTCATGGGCAAGATTAGGCTAGCGGTGGAAAGCCAAAAGTTCGGTGAAATACCTCGTAGGTCACGCGGTTCTGGTCAAGATATCTCCTTGTGAAAGTAACGTTGTCACGGTTGTGCTTGGCAGCATCGAGGTCTGCGCCTAATTTTCTGGTGTTAGGTGTCTGAGGTACAGTATTGTAATAACATCATACTCATCCAGCCTAGAAGATCATGTCAGACGATACTCCTTACTCATATTTGCAGTTTACGCACCGATTGTTTCCATGTAGCGTCCGCTTTCGATACCCATGGATCGATCATCGTACTGTGTACAATCACGGATGTGGGTATGTCCTAGATCTACAATGAGCATGTTATTTGGAACGATCAAGATTGTAGCCTCCACCTCCAAATATTAGTATGGGTGTTAGAGGGTGCACAGCCCGTACAGCGTTGACAACGGTAGGCCCTGGATGAACATTTCGTTGGACTATCGTTTGACAAACATTTCAGTGACATACAGCTACCATAAGAAACAGGTATGTGTCTGCAGTCGCATTAACGAAATATTTCCTTCGACAACAAGGAATTTGCATACCCGATAAGCACGAACGCGTCAGGCTCTTCTGAAATGGCCTCAACGAACTACAAACAGAAATCAGGATGCCATGTTTCAATCACTCAAACGCATTGAATAACGTACCCACTGCTCCTTGACCATATCACCGACAGCTTGCACAGTCGTGTTCACATCGTTCCCAGTAAAATCGAATATGACTCCCAGAGAAGTGATACGACGGCCTCTGCCGTGTCGAATGAATAAGAGTCCCTCCTCGAAGTTAACATGTTCACTTACTTCCTTGTGGTGAACTTGGTGTAACGGTCTGCAGGGATAAACGTTAGCAGCAGCAACAATCATTTTGAATCCGAACTCACTGCCTACTGGGACACTCTCAGGCTTGCCGTCTGAATTAAAAACAGTGATGTTGACGTTAGAGGTCAAGTACCGCCCAGCGAGGTGGGGGACAAAGTTGGTATACCTGCAGAGCATTCATGGCATTTTGGTAAGCCGTTTCCGAATTTGCGAAGATGTTCGTGTGGCATTCCATAGAAAAAGTATTGAAGAGTGATGCAGACAGTCGGTAGTGTGAGCATACCGAACACAGTTTAATAAGGAATAGAACAGACGTATCATGTAATGCGGGATGTGTCAACAGGTCAGCAAAGATATGGCAGAGATAAAAAGTCGCGCCAAATCATCAAAAACGTGACAAAAGAAAAAAAGCAAATTTTGTGTCAGTTAAAGAAGATTCGTTCAAAATGCTTATAACGCACATATCATACGTATCCGCATAAACATACAATTCGTGGCTATAAAAGGGTGATCGAGGAGGGGAATTAGGAGAGAACTCGGACTACAAACGCAACACTCACTTTCCGATGGTCATGAGATCGTAGGGGAGGCGCTCAACGAACTTGTTTGACTATGAATGGCGCATCCGACATGTCAGCATTAGTTATATATCACTCATGAATAGAACGGACCTCGTGTGCGTCGACATCACCGGGAGGATATCCATCAGAAAGACCGGTCCCTGGAAAACGTGAGCCGGATGGTGTTTCAGACAATGAGTGATTGCACATACCGTCATGTAGATCACCTGTGTCTATCAAAAGAAGGTCCACATCCTTATGCTGCGATAGGAATTACACATAATGAGTGCACAAGTTCAGATTGATGGACGAACGAGGGCGATTTGCTTCATGTGAGTCACAAAACTAGCAAAATCTCCGAGATCCCCACTAGTAGAATTCGCACGAGGTGGGTGAGTGACGGTGGCTCGAGGTAGTTGCACTGTAAACACCAACCTGTAGTATGGTTCAGCCCAGGACGACTTCTGGTGCCCGAGTAGCCAACCATGGGTATCGGTGGTGTGGATCACGTTCAAGTCTCCCCAGACAAGAGGACGGTATGGAGGTGTGAGTGGAACCTGCGGGTACTCACGGCTTTCCAAATGTTCATGAGCATGGCTGTCGCGAGCGTGCAAGTGATCGCCTGCACAAGCAGCGCTACGGAGTGCAAGACCCAGGAGAATAGCGGGAGTTAACTTGGAAATCATACCAAAGACCCCTGCTTAGGTCAAGAAATATCACTGCCTTTATACCACAACATTCTCGGAACCGACCTCGGATTGAACATCCTCCTTGATTGGCGCCGCCCCAATCATTGCCTAACCTTCGAACAGCTGGTGTGCATCATGGGTATCAAATGGATAACGTGCTCCGGCAGGAGCTGAAGTGCCATGATGATGGAGTTCGATGTTCAAAGTCAACTCGTCCACAGAAATTTGACAAACCAAATCCCACATGCAGGGAAACGTTACTCGGGTAACATATTCATACGAATTATTGGACGCAAGTGTTTAAACGATAAACGGCTGACTACACTACTGATGCCGGATGTGTTAATTATATAATTCGGTTCGGTCTCTTGAAGGTTGCCGGATCAACCTTTAGCCCCTCCCAGTCTCGAGATACTATCTATCACGAACACTTAGCTTGACTAGACTTGCTTCGCATATTACGGTACAAAGTATCCATCCGTGAAAATTATCCGAATCTACTACATCACTCGATGGAACAATGTGATCCTCCCCCTCTTGCTCGCGCCCGCGGTGCCTTAATGAACAAATTCAATCTTCCCGTGTTTTGGCACGCTATGTCGTTGCTCGGCTCACCGTCTCGTTGCTCGGCCTACCGTCTTCCAAGGTACGGGTCATCGAACTCGTAGATGTCGATGATCACGCCTAGAAAACTTGAAGATTGGAGACAGTGCATCCAAACGCCCAAATGTCGACTTTCTCATTCCACGGTCATTGATTTAGAGCACAAGCGGAGATCTCGTCGGTTGTGTGAACATGTGTAGGTTGCGCTATTAGATGCCACGTGTGAGTTCTGCTACATGTCCTGAAAAACACATCGTTTTTCACCGTTCCCGAAAATCTGCAACGATGGAGTTGCGCATCATGGCCTCGAGCGAAGTTAGAGGGTCTGGACAACGATTCGGAATGGAGGATGGCGTCAAGCTTGGTCCCCTTTGGTGAAGACTGCAATATTAGCCTATGTGAGTGAGCCCATATCAAACATGATGTTGTCCTGCTTGAGATCCGTATACGTTATCTCAAGTGCGTGCATACGCACAAGATTTAGTGCAAGATGTTTCTTTCCGAATGACCTCCTGGAGAGATTTGACATCTCCACCCAAAACCTCTGTGACAAAGTATAGATGGTGCCCGTGTCGATCCTTTCCAGATTGTTCAAGAAGAAAAGAAGATGGAGGCAATGAATCGACGTGAGGCTGGATGTTAGAGACCAGGAGTTGAGCGTTTAAGAGCAGGTAGCTGCAATATTACGCCTCGTTCAAATAGACCAGTTGAATCTCCTTTCAAAGCTTTGATCACGACTACAACTGCTGGTCTCCACGTACATCTCGTCAAAAGACATCCAGATGGTGGAGTTTATACCTCTCCGCTCAAACTTGCGGATGATTTTGAAGCGCTTCTCTGGATTTAAGGAATCACCAAATTCGACACGAACCTTGGAGATAGTCATGCCCTTAGTCCATGAGAATTCTTGATACTAGCTCCTCCGCAAATTTCAGTTCAACTTCTACGCCCTCTGCGTCAACGTGAACGTGTTTATATAGGAAACGAGGTGCAGAGGGCCAGAAGATGCAATTTTCGGATGTGCTATTGTGAGATATCGGAGGCTGAGGTAATACTGATGTTGTATTTTAGAGAAATGGCATTGAAAGTCTCGCACTGGACGTGTACGCTAAGCGGACACCGTAGTCTGTAGCATGGTAGTTTTGTTCAAGGAATCCTTTCACGGAATGATTACCCTATGCGTGTCAGACAAACACAACATAATAACGCGTCCTATATGCAACACGATTGAGACTAGGTAAGGTATGGATACCACTAGAGAGCGGAACACTCGTGTGACACCAGTTCAACAGGATGTGTTTGATGATGTGCTTACGCCAGAAGCGGATACAATCTATCTTCGTAAGTAACTACCATAGCGCAAAGCTGATATATAACTACTTGGTGACAGACGAGTTCTACTCTAGACATCAATGACCTCAAGCCTGTTAGACTCCCATGTAGGATACGAAGTAGAACCTGCCGCAACATGTTTCCAATTTGCATTGAGCAAATAAATTCTATCCTTGTCGAGCCATATGTCCAGTAACTCACGAACACAGAACTTCCTTTTCGATACGACCTCGACGTAAGGCAAGGATGTTGTAATCGTCAAGTTCTCCTCTTTGACGGTGTCATCCATGACAGGACTCATTTCTATCGTAGATGAATCTTTCACCACACGCCCAAGACCCTGTCTGTTTGTCCCAGCTATTGGGCTGAAGTCCATCAGACGTACTCCGTACACCCCAGGGCGCGCGTCTGGCCCGCTAATTGCGAAAGCCTGCAAAACTCGATTGCCACTAACGTGGACTTTGCCTCGATATGGATACCAGAAAACACGAGTATTTGAAGGACCCCAATGTATCCATGGTATTGTTATTGTTTCTGCAACTTCGTCAAGGTCGAAGAAAATCCGCATGGAGATGATGAAGACCAGAGAGGCAGTACCATAGGACGCAGTAAGGCATAGTAGTTGATGTTTAGGGTCTGGGGTGTACCTCACCGTTTGAGGTTGGGTTTGCATCTGCTCAATATCGTCCATCGGAGGGAGGCATTGTATACACTGCAACGGGAGGGGCAATTTGAAACGCGTATATGGTGACATCTTGCTCGGGTCTTCTATTGAAAAGAACTCCAGATATTCAGTCACAATGAGCAACCTATCATTTCCGAGGAAACAAAAATCAATCTGGTTTTCAGATGGGTGGGGTGTTATTCTGCCGGTGACCATCTGAATTCAAGATTAATCGTCAAGTCTTTGAACATTTCAGATCAAACCTCACCGTCTTTGACGTGTTTTTCCAATCCCAAATCTGCAGATTCCACTCGTAATTCCTTCCATCATCGTTTGTAATAACCAAGGAACGCAGCAAAGCGATATGCCTCCCACAACACTTGAGCTTCGCACATGTTGTTTTAATGAGATCGGATTCAGATTCGGTCATCTCCACTAGAATTAGCGTTCGTTCGGCAGCTTGAGGGTGAACACCATCACCATCACCATCCAGGGCTCTAAGGTCAATACAGACCACCTCATCTGATTCAAGAGGATTATCCTCTGAAGTAACACAATACGCGACGGCGATCAGGTTTTGTGCTAGGTCCATCAACACATCCAGGGTGACTGAGTGGGGCTCCGAACGCAATGTTTCTAGAGACCAGTAGCGCTCGATTGTTCTTTGCGAGGGCTTTGGTAGTATTGGAATTATCGCAGCGAGGTCATCAGGTTCATCCCACGAGAAGAAATGCCCATGAGTCACGAGATGTTTCTTAGCGTACGATTTTTCTTCTAAGGTGATTGTTTCGAAAGAGTACATGTCAAACTTGAACCATGCGTGGGACCTGTCCTTCAAGGTCTTCAGACGGATGCCAATAGGTGTATAGTTGGTGTTGGGGACAGGAATTAACCGTTGGCCAATGAGTTCGATGGTGTATTGAAGCTCGGAGGAGGACATGTACGCCTGGCGAAGGGCCTTGCATACCTGCAAGAGCATCGAAATCCATCTAGAATGAGAATCACATCAACACAATTGTGACTCACAGATGTACAACGAAGAATATCTCGATAAGAAAGATACCTGAGAATGTAAAACATCAGTTCTTCAGCGAGAGATAAGAACCCTGTTTTGGGCTTCATTTCGTAGCCTACTCTTCCGACATGGCAAGGTGGACAACGAGACTCGAGCATTGGATATGAGTGGGAAGTTATACACCAGATGCTAAGGAAGATATTTGAGTGACTGACCGCTGGAGCACGGCGGGAGCTTGCAAAAAAGGGTTACATAAATTGAGGTGAACCGAATGACTCGTTGCGTGGGGTATCATACATGGTAACTTACCCATATGGGACGGTAAAGGAGGTTTACACTGTGGGAAGCAAACGTTTCGATCTGAAAAAGGCAACGCTTATTTTCTGTGACGGAACCTTTCTCGATCGACCTTCCCGATGACCGTGACGGAGTCTGCAGCTGCGACCAGCCTTCTGAGTCTGCAGAGACCTCACTCAACCGAATCAGCCGCACAATTTCGCGCATTCTGAACGTCCGCACTGCAGCACTGCCCTCAAAATTAAATCGACTCGGAGGAACAACTGTCAAGTTTCTTCCTTAACAGTCTGACTACGAGAAACTATTACCACTCTAATTTATAATAGTATGTCAGAAATTCGACATGATGCATATCCGATGCCCTTTGACTATCTGATTTGCGATGAAGTTTTTGATGGGACGCAAGGCAAAGGCAATCGGGATTGGCGCGACCGAGCGCTGCTACAATTTTTTATGGCACTGGATCCGTAATCACTGAAAAATTCATCCGTTCAATCTCAAGCACAGGTGGTCCAAAATTTAAAACTGAACACACCAGTTTCGGGAGGGGACCATTTCGTCCTCGGACTTTGACAGCAAACGATGACATTTCGTAAGTGTGTTCGCCCATTCCAATGGGCAAGGCCGCTAAATGTTGACAACGACTTAGAACTCGCCGTATCCTCATGTCCTCCCTCATGCACACAATGCATATGTTACGTACCATACTACCCGACACAGCATCAATACCTGCACACCCGCCCTCGTGTTGCCAACGAACGAGTTCTTCACTCTTCCACAATCCCCAGCAGGCGCACAACACCAGAACAACGATCCATCACTTCTTACGACCTCCCCCTGCCCCAGAAGGTCTATTAAGCCCTAGACTTTGATCATTGGCTAACGTTGTCGTACGTCTTCCATCAAAGATGACATCGTTCATATGGTAGCTAACTGCACTTTCTAACCTAACTAGCACTTCCCCGGACAATTCTGGCATATTCTGCCACCATCACACAATGAATCATGATCAATGTCAGTATCAGTATCTTCTATCTATTACCTCGATCGCTGACTTCATTCGCAGTGCGCCAATCACCTGAAGGCATGTGGGAGAGTCTTTCCCGCATCGCCGTTAAGAGTGCTGAGTATAACTCCCGCGAACGTCAGCCTCATCCGAAGTGTTTGGAAGGGACGCGGGTAAACCCTCTCGACTACATCTACAGATTGTTAGACGACCGAAAGAAGAGTCGACTCATCTGGCTGCATGGTACAGCAGGCGTCGGAAAGTCTGCTATTGCATTCACTGTAGCTGAAAGAATGAGAAATCTGCAAGTAACAGAAGAGACGAACATCGAGAAGCGGCTCGCGGGCACATTCTTTTTTTCGCGCAAGCACACCGAACGCTGCACAACTGGATATTTTTTTGCGACGCTCGCATACCAGCTTGCCTGCAATTTTCCCAGCGTCCGAGAGGACTTGAACAGAACCATCCGCGAGAATCCTGCTCTTTTGGATTCCAACAAGTCTCTCCGCGACCAGATGGAGGGACTCTTTCTGAAACCTCTGCGGAAGCTTCAATCTAGACTGCGCGAATGTCCGCCTTCGGCGTTCGTTGTCGATGCCCTTGATGAATGTATGTCCGAAACTGAGGTTGCGGATCTCATTTCCCTACTCGGCTACGCTCTTCGTCAACCCAATTTGCCCGTAATCCATATCCTACTCACGAGTCGCTCAGAAGCGTACATCCGTGAAGCCATTCAACTTGAAGATGTTCACCCACTGGTGTGCGAGATACCAGTCGAAATTTCTGGAGAGGGTGTTGCTGCAATCATCTCATTAGATGGCGCAGATGTTGACGATGACATCTATATCTTCCTGGAGCATTCCTTCAAAAAGCTGCGGAGCCGATATTCAAATTTCCCCCAGCCAACATCACGTGAACTTGCACGGTTGGCTAGTCGAGCGGGAAGACGTTTCATTGTAGCGTCTACGATGATGAAATTCGTCGATGATGGATATCATGATCCCCGCGATCGGCTCCATCTCATGCTGGAATTCACTAGCGAGTTGCTCCCAGGAACGGAAGTTTATAAATTATATGACCGTATTCTCGCCACATGTGCCAACCCCGCGCGAGCATATTTGCACTTATCTATTGTTGCCTCCCTTGCAAACCCTCTGTCAATCTCACAAATCGCGGAACTTCTTGGCCCTGGTGAAGGCAGGGATGTGGAGATGGTACTGGCGCAGCTACGGTCCATCATGGACATTCCTACGGACCGCAGTCTCCCAGTAAATATCTTTCACTCATCCGTTCGCGACTACGTTCTTAACCCTTCGAACTGCAATCTCCCTGGGGTGCAACATATCAGATACCCCCACCCCCTACTCGCTCGTTCATGTCTCTACTTGATGATGCAAGCCATCCCACGAAGCACGGCCTTGTTGGACGCACTATCGCAATTGAAGACGCATAGCCGGGCTATGAAACCCCACGAGCCCCAGAGCTTAAAACAAGAGCTAGCCTTCATAGTCGAGCCACCGACGCCATTCACAGTCCTTACAGCCCTGCAGTGGCTTCGGGGAAGTCACAAGTCAGATTTACTTTCCTGGTTAGAGACCCTTGACGGGTGCGCTTGGCTGGAGACCCAAGAGGGGAAAGACTGGCTGCAGATTCGGTGGAGGATAGACTGGCTCCAGACCCAGGGGAAGACATTCTTACCGAAGGCTCATAGCGTCCGAGACTGGCTGCTGACCCAGGGGAGGAAAGGCTCGCTGACTGAGGCCTGGCCATCTTGGCTGGGAACACAGAGTGGGAGAGATTGGCTGCAGGCACAGTCGGGGCAAGATTGGCTGCAAACCCAGTGGGGGAAAGATTGGTTGCAGACTCGGTGGGGGCAAGACTGGTTACAGACCCGGTGGGGACAAGACTGGTTACAGACACGGCGAGGTCAAGACACGTATACCCAGCACACGCGGGACTCGCTCCAGACCCTGAACGGAGAAGGCTGGCTGAAGACTGAGAGTGGGCGAGAATGGCTTAGGGACGAGAGCGGGAGAGAGTGGCTGCAGACCCATAGTGGACGAGACTGGCTGCAAACCCAGAGTCGACAAGACTTGCTGCCAACCCACAGCAGACGACAGTGGTTGCAGACTCAGAGCGGGCGAGAGCGACTGAAGACCCAACCCGGACAAGAATTGCTGCAGACTCAGGGTGGACGAGATTGGCTGAAGACTCAGAGCGGACGAGAATGGCTGCAGACCCAGAGCGGCCAAGACTGGCTGCACACGCCCCATGGTCAAGCTTGGCAGTCGACTGCTGCGGCGTCTGTCTGGGTCACAATGGAGGAGTTCTCGAGGACTTTGGAAGCAGTCAGCGAGTATGCGATCGTCCCGGAATTGCTCTCGCTTGCAGCTTTCCAGGCAATCCAGCAGTTCAAGAGTTTGCCGGATTTCTTGATGTTCCCGGTGTTCCTGGCATTGAGGCATCAAGATTCTTCTTCCACCTTACCGCAATGTCATTTCCCGCCAGACATGGAGATATTCCACGCTATGATGGCCTTTGAGGGTTTTGCACACGAAGCACAGGAACGAAGTCGATCAGCTTCTGACGCGCTCAATTATGCGTGCCAGAATTGGGCGTTCCATCTCTCGCGAGCTCACAGTCCATGGGACAACATACTTAATCACCTGTTCAAATCTTTCTGGAGTCACCATCTCCTCTGCTGGCTCGAAAGGCAGTGGTGTTCGAAGGGCCTCCGGTCTTGCCTTGCTATTTTATTCGAAGCGCAGAATTGAAGGTCAGTGTGTTGTTAACGATGTTTGCGACGCAGAAACTAACCTGCACATGTGAGTAGGGACATCATCAATAAGAAAGCGGTAGATAGTATTTATTTCTCCTGCACGTTGCTCAAGTGCTTCCAGCACATACTCGCTCTAGCAGATCCTACCCTTCTTGTTTATTACAGTTGGTAAAAGCAGTACTCTGTTCCGTTTTTGATGTGACAAAGAGCTGCAGTTGGTTGGAGAAGAGCATGGCAGTGCGTTAATAAGTTATGCATTTATGACTTATTGTGTATTGAAGCGATTACCGCTGCGCGGTTCGTTTTGTGTTATATATAGTTTGTCTATTTATATACAAGAAAAAATGCGGTTGCGTCTATGAAAGCGTCGATTCAAAGCAAATCCCACTGATGATCATGATGCCCCAAGACTCGGACCCAGACGATGCCATACCCCAGGGGTCTGTAACAGACTTGCCCCCAGAATGTCCATTTCCCGGACGTTCTCATGATATGAGTCAGTACAGTTTGAAGAACAACAAATCAGGTCTTATGCGACGGTCATACTATCAGTGCGCCCAAGTCTTCTTTTATTTGCGTCCTTTCTGATTGCTGTCTAGTTCTAGCAGTGATGACGCTAGTACTATCTGTCAATCAGCGTTTCTCAACTAGGCTATCTCTGGCTAGACAAACCGATGCCCGTCAGCACCGCACCAATTTCCTGATTGGCAGATTGAAGATTCTGCATTCATCATTGTTGGCAACCTTATATGACAGCCCGATAACCGATGCAGAGAGCAAGGATGTGCGCACAAAGCGACAGATAGCACAAGAACGAGGAGCAGAAATGTTCAACATTGAGATAGTACTATGCTCGCGCACGAGAACGTGAGTTCACTCCGTGTGAATCTTCCCTACTTTTGACGGTTTATTTCTGGTATAGCCTTGGCATGCCGACACAATTTGCCTTCTATCTTTCACTGTGTTAGTATGTAAAGCGTTCCGCCCGTCGAAATGTTTCATGACCAACGTTTACGTTGACCGCTAGCCCCTGGATCTTTGGGTAATGAACACAGGAATGGATTTCATTTTGGTGATCCAAGCACTGGATGGTGGTATATAAACTATCACTATACGTCTACCAAGTTCACCTTTCACCCTCACTCCCATTCTCTACCAATATGACCATATTCTCAAATGATCCTGCTTGGTGGCCGACCATCAATGCGTATCGTTTTTCCAGCTATTTTTCAGGTTCGTGGAGAGCAGTCGGATTCTGAAGATTATGTCTCAATTTGACGTTGGTTGCGGTTTCGCAGTTGCTGCCTTTGTTGTAGTGACGTATGATTGGGGTGAGCATGATAACATTAAAGGACTGCTGATATCTTACAAGTGTTTTTCAGCACTTACATTCGCACAAGAGGTATGTCAATACTATGACCGGAGTTAGTCATCCCGCTAAGAATCCTTCTATAGGTTGAATTGGTCTGGGTGAGTAGAGTCTCATGTCAGAGGAACAACCATGAAAATACGCTTAATTACAGAGGCAACGTTGGTCCTTGATGACAGTTCTGTATCTCGGTGTATGTAGCTTGTTTGTCGTGGTTGTCATGCTGTGCTGACTTGAAAGTATCCTAGGTACGCTACCTTGGAATCTTATATGCTGCGTATGTCCGGAAGGTTAAACAATCAATGCTGTGTTGATCGTCTGTCTCTCACAATCAGCCTGACCATCCTGTGTATGTCTCCCTAGTACATCCACTGTCTTTGCTTCTTCTGACACGCGGTATACAGCCCATATTCCGACCCTCTCGCTGACAAATACAGTGAGTCTTCTGCGCAGATGTCTGCTATTCCCCTCCAATTAACTGTGGTTCCCTGTAGGAGTGGGTGTGGTTCTTACTAACTATTTGGTTCTCTACTGACTGTCACGCTATACTGCCGTAGATGTGAGTCTGTTTGGAGTGTGTGCTACCCGAGGTTGATCACTGACCGGATTCATCAGGCTGGATTGTGTACGTCGTATGGAATTGGACGGGTGTTGTGATATTTGCGTTGCTGTGGGGTGAGCTTGGCACTTGCGAGACCTCAGTAATATTGACTGAAACATGCTGCAAGTCACCATCATCACTCGGTTGTATGCTATGTATCAACGATCTAGAAAGATCCTGATATCTCTCGTTGTCACCTTCCTGGTTCTCAACATTTTCGATGGAGTGGTAGCTGTAATGGCAATGGTACATGCTTCAGGGGGTACGCTAAATCGTGGATGAAAAATAACGTGCATGGTGCTCACTGACGAATATCAGAGGAAATCGTTTTTTCCGGCGCTCATCAGTGCTGGATTACCTTCACGGGAGATATCCTATTTCTGAATTCTGTTACTTGGATACTCGGAACTGTGTGGGAGGTCTCCGCGCTATGTCTCGCAGTCTGGATTGCGGTAAAACACTTCCGTGAACTGCGACAGCATTCGGCAGGAGGGATTATCGGGGAGTGTTTCACGGTGTTGATGAAAACTCACGTGCTTTACTTTGCGAGGTCAGCTTATATTGTCATTATTATTCCTTTTTCCACTGAAGGGTCGGACTTGGTAGCTTTGTCGCTGTTTCGTGCTTCACCCTCGTTCTTGATTTCTCTCCAACATTCTCAACGGTATGTCGATCTTTCACTTCCATACATGCCACTACGATTCATCATTTCTATAGTTACAAAATTCCCTGGGAATCCAGACTTTTTATGGGTTGCTTCAGATTTTGGAGATCATGCAGTTGTTTGTACTGGGACCACGGCTGATTCTTGGTGTTCGAGAGTATGGCGCCAAGCTCGTGGCCGATTCCAACACAGCTATTGGTATGACCTCAATCGCTTTCCAGGAGCGTGTGCATATATCGACTGGCAGTAGTGTGTAATCCGTCCTCGATTCATCCTCTCACCTCATTCGACGTCCCACTCCTGTCTTTTCGCCTGACTTATGCCAACTGGCTTACGGAAAATCCAATCAAGATGATTCCAAGGTGCGCGAAGCACAGTCGTGCATGCGTAGCTTGATGATGTGAGGCATACTCGATGAGTTTTGACGAGGTTGATACTGGTGGAGGAGTTTGCCTTCCACTTTTGGTCGACGAGGCGGAAATACGGGTGTGAATATGAACTATCTCGTATTGTCACTGAAGCACTACTGGCTTATACATGTACGCTAATAGACATTGTGCTATGAAGACCATGGCTCTTTAGCTGGGACCCAGTGCCTCTATGGAGTCAGGGGAATCTAAAGAAATCCACAGTGCTAACGTCTGGAAATAGCACACTAACCATCAAATGGTTTGTTGACGTGGTTCCAAACGGTGACAGCCACGGACCAGGAACAGATATGCAGGCATCAGGACTAGCAATGAACTAATAGTGCAAGAGTCAAGCATCCGCTGCTTGATGCTACATAGGTTGTGAATATGATAGCGAATTCGACACAGGAAGAGGTAAATCTCCCGTGGTTGGCTGGCGGAAGAGACCGTCTTCAAAATGACACAGAAGTTGGGGCCTTGAATTACATTTTCGGATTTGAAAAGTTTGAGTGCTCCGGGTCGTGGACATACTCTGGGGGATTTGAATATTGAGAAAGGGAAGGTTTCATGATATCTGAACCGGGCACGAATTTTCACAAGAACGTATACACACGGAGGGCTATAGCTACTATTATTTATAGATTTCAAGCACATCTGCAGAAGTGATAAAATATTTTAAACAAAATGACAGGGGTTCTCTGAGCACGAGTTGATCGATGGTGTCGGTGAGATCTTGAGACTGTGCCCGCCTCATTCTTCACACTGTGACAGGGCGCCCGTCGCTATTGGACAATTGTATAGCGAGTCAGTATCATGATGAGTCTCCGGCCATTGGTTAATATACAAGCTCTCCATGAAGTTGCACAATACATAGTAATAAAAATGTAAACAGCATGATAAGGAATAGGATACACTGGCACGACTCGCAATCATTCATGACCCAACTCAGCATCAATTCGTGCTCTCCGCAAGTCCCTCCTCTCCTCGTCAGTCATACACGACCACCCCTCAACAGTCTCCGACAGATCCTCCTCGATACGCTCTTCCATCTCTATTTGCTTCTTGCTCTTCTTCGGCGGAGGTCTCGGTAATGGTGGTGGAGGAGTCCGTCAGTTGGGGTGGAGCGGTGCAATCCGCGAAAGCATCGTGCGCGAAGACTTCACCAATGGCGAATTGGAAGGACTGTTTGAGAACGGTGAATTTGGTTGTGAGTTGACACGCCGGATGAGCTCTGACATTGGGGTCGACTTGGGTTTGATGTTGAAGGCGGGTGACTGGAGAGTGACAGACAGAGCCTGCTTTGGTGGGGCAGCCACGCTTTTCGGGGAAATCTTCTAGGTAGAAAGAATATCAAATAGTATGAAAATGTAGTACCTTGGTTATCTCAGGGATTACAATGGTTTCAGAATTCCTGGGACCATCGTCTCGAGAGTCTTTATCCTCGGGCAAATGGTTGCTTTGGTTAGGGGATTTCGAACGAGGAGGGTCGTTCTCGTCGTCCTCATGTCCACTTTCCGAGAGAACCGCTTTCCTTTTGCCTTAGGTTTCGATTTCGACGTTGCAGCGGAGGTGGGTTTCGATAGCGGCTTCTTCTTCGATGTAACTTTCGGTTCCTCTTCCTCAACGAAATCGTCGTCTTCGAGACCATTATTACCTGCAGCTGGCTCATCCGTGGGGGATTTGTGCACAAGATCGTCGGGTTGGACTCTGTCAGCCTGCTTCCGACCTTTTTTCTTCCCCTTCGCCCGAGAAGACAATTTTGTGTCCTTTTTCTTACCCTTGCTCGCAGCAACGATGTCTGCGTCCTCGTTTTCGTCTTCAAGCGTGTGCAAATTGTCAATTTCTGGGACGACGGGCGACAATTGTGCAGAGAATAGAGGAGGTGCTATAATAGAGGACGACGAAGAATCGGGGACGTCTACATCCATCTCTTCGCCATGAACCTCTGACTGAAACAGGGAAACCTTCTTCCCATCTCGGGTGGAGAAGAGGGCGGAGAAGACAGATCGGGTAAAGCAGGAATAGAAGATGGGAGGGATGATGTTGTTAAGACGGAAGCGCTGGCTCTTGCGGTGAAGGAAGAACCACAACGTTGCTCGGCTGAGTATCGACGATGCGTTGTTCAGGAACCTTTAGTGAAGGCGATGTCCTAGCTTTAGGCTTCGGTTTAGGCCCGGGTCTCGACTTGGGCTTGACGGGCTTGTCTTGGGATTTCTGCCGCTTCCGTGGAGGCTTGAGTGATAGTTCGTCGAGGTCGGAGTCGGATGATAACTCTATCACATCATGGTTGACAGGCACGTAAGTCGGCTTCTTGACCTGAGTCTTTCGAGTGCGCGTCTTGGCTCGGTCGGCAATGCTAAACACAGGATCGACCTCCTCGATGAGATCTGAAACCGCAGATGGTATGGCTGGAGGGCGGATGCTGTCTGCAGCCTGCAGCCAAGGTACTGGCTGAGATCGCAGATGCAGAACCTATGAGTGAGCCAGAGGAACAAAGTTCATCGTTTTTGATGAAGTACTCGTAGTTCGAGACTTTCGCAGCACGGGATGTGGACGCGGTTTAGACTTCGGTACAGGTGTTCCCGTGCCACGAGGAAGTAACGGAGAAGTATTTGGTGGTTCAGAGTCTTAATAGCCTGGAGGTGGTGTAAACAGAGACACATTACTTGTGTCGAGAGGTTCATGTCTTCGCCGGGGAGTCTGTGCTTGACTGGTAATAAATGAAGCAATCTGAATTGTTGACGTTGCAAATCCGTGTCCAGTTAGCATGCGGTATAGGGCATGAAGCTTGAAGAATTCCTAACGCTGTAGTATCTTTTCCGGGCCTGTAGAAAATGGGGTTCCGCTCAAGAGATCGCTTTGGTCAGCAATTTGAAGAGATCGTAAAGCATCTTCGTCTTCGCTGTCAGCGACAATCCAGTTGTCTGTAACATCGGCCATGTTGTAGTTGATAGATATTTTACTGGGTGTTATCGATGAGTATGCATATAGAAGAAGTTAAGAAGAGTAAGACATGTCATGAATCAAATTATACCTCCGAACCTCGTACTCGTCAGCTTGTGAAACACTCTAGCCACAGCCCAACCTAGCCACAGACTCCGGAGCTTCCAGGGAACAAAGTTCATTAATTTTCTATATCAAGGATGCAAGAACCGCAACTGCATGATCTATGTGGAGTGCACAAATGTCGGAAAAGACATCATGATGATGGCAAAAGTATCTGTTTACATTTGTACTACGCCGTAGACCAAACAAATTTGGCTTCGTGTCGGATTCGTGTCTACTCACTTACCCTTTCTCCCTTGGAATATGATCTGACCAATATCTCACTTCCGCAGTGATTTCGGTTACCAAACTAGTGAGCACGGATAGTGGTATATAGCGCGAATGTCACCGCTATACATCTACCGAGTTCACCTCTCACTTACACCCATTCTCTGATATTCAACCGGCAACTGCAACATCTAGCATGCGGGGAACAATCGATTTTCTATATAAGGAGTACAAGAACCGGCAACTGCAACATCTAGTATGTGGAGTGCACAAATATTTACCTTGCCCTTATTGATATTTCGGTTACCAAACTATAGTGAGCACGGCGTACATACATATAGCGCGAATGTCACCGCTATACATTTATACCAGGTTCACTTCTCACCCACACCCATTCTCTAATAATATGACCATGGTCTCCAATGATCCCATGTGGTGGCCGTCCATCAATGTACATCGTTTTGCCAGCTATTTTTCAGGTTCGTGGAGACACGGGAGAGCAGTCAGATGTTGAAGCTGATGTCTCAATTTGAACTTGGCTACGGTTTTGCAGTTGCCGCCTTCGTTGTAATAACATATGATTGTGGTGAGCATGATGACATTAAAGGGCTGTTGATGTCTCACAAGTATTTTTCAGCACTAACATTCGGACAAGAGGTATGTCAATACTATCACCGGAACCCGTCTTGCTAATAATCCTTTTGTAGGTCGAATTAGTCTGGGTGAGTACAGTCTCATGCCAGAGGGAACACACATGAAAGTACGCTTAATTACAGAGACAACGGTGGTCGCTCGTGACAGTGTTGTATCTCAGTGTATGTAGCTTGTTTGTCGTAGTTGCCATTTTGTGCTGACTTGGAAGTGTACTAGGTGCGCTACCTTGGAATCCTATTTATTGCGTATGTTCGGAAGGCTAAACATCTGGTGTTGTGCTAATCGTCTATCTCTCATAATCAGTCTGTCCGTGGTCGGTGTGTCTCCTTAGTACATTCACTGTCTTCTCTTCTTCTGACCAACGGTATTCAGACAATGTTCCGACCATCTCGCTGACAGATACAGTGAGTCTTCTGTATAAATGCCTGCCATTCCCCTCAAATTAACCGTGGTGTTCTGTAGCAGTGGGTGCGGCTCTTTGCTGACTTCTCAGTCCACTAATGGCTACCACGCTATACTAATACTATCATAGATGTGAGTCTGTTTGGAGTGTGTGTAGTACCTGAGACTGGTCGCTGATCGTATTTGTCAGGTTGGATGATGGTCACTATATGGGTTTGGACGGTTGCTGTGTTATTTGCTCTGCTGTGGGGTGAGCTTTGCACTTGCGAGACCTCGGTGATATTGGAATGACTGAAACATGCTGCAAGTCATCATAATCACTCGGTTGCATGCCATGTATCAACGAAACCGAAAAATCCTGATATTTCTTGTTGTCGCCTCCCTGGCGATCAACATTTTTGCTGGAGCGACAGCCGCAATGTCAACGATCCATAGTTCAGGAGGTACGCTTAATTATGGATGAAAACGAACGTGCATAGGACTCATTGATTGACACCAGAGGAACTTGTTCTCTCTGGCACCTATATGTGCGGGATTAGCTATACAGGTGATGCCCTAATTATGGATTCTGCTACTTGGATACTCTACATTGTGTGGGAGGTCCTCGCACTATGTCTCGCAGTCAGGATTACGGTAAAACACTTCCGTGAACTGCGACAACACTCGGCAGGAGGGATTATCGGGGACTGTTTTACGGTGTTGATGAAAACTCATGTGGTTTACTTCGCGAGGTAAGTTCATATTGTGATTATTGTTCCCTTTTTCCACTGAAGGGTCCGACTTGATAGCGTTGTCGCTGTTTCGTGTTTCGCCTTCATCCTTGATTGCTATCTAACATCATCAACAGTATGTCAATCTTGCACTTACCTCTACATGTGACCATGATCTATCATTTCTATAGAACCGACATCTCCTAGAAGATCGGACTTTTTATGCCTTGTTTCAGATTTTGGAGGTCGTGATGTTCGTGCTAGGACCACGGCTGATCCTTGGCATTCGAGAATATCATGCTGAACTCGTGGTCGACTCTGACGCAGCAACCGGCATGACTTCAATCGCTTTCCAGGAGCATGTGCATATATCGACTGGCAGTAGTGTGTAATCCACCCTCGATTCATCTTCTCGCCTCATTCAACGTCCCATCCCTGTCTTTTCATCTGACTTACGCCAAGTGGCTTACGGAAGATCAAATCAGGATGCGCGGAGCACGGTCGTGTATGCGTAGATTGATGATGCGAGGCATACTTGATGAGTTGATGCTGGTAGAGAAGTTTGCCTTTCACTTTTGTTCGACGAGGCGGAAATACGGATATCAATATGAACTGTCTCGGATTGTCACTGAAACATGTACGCTAATAGACTGTGCTATGAAGACCATGATTCTTTGGCTGAGATCCAGTGCCTCTATGAAGTCGGAGGAATTTGAAGAAATCCACAGTGCTCATGTCTGGACATAGCAAAATCAATATCAAACCGTGACGGCTTGTGTCGGACGTGGTTCCAAACGGTGACAGCGACGGACCACGAACGGATATGCAAGCACCAGCACCAGCAATAGTGCAAGAGTCGAGCATCCGCTGCTTGATGCTACATAGGTTGGTTATGGGACCTCGAACGAGGAGGGTCGTTGTCGTTATCGTCGTCCTCATGTCCACTTTCCGAGAGAACCGCTTTTCTTTTGCCTTAGATTTCGATTTCGATGTTGCAGCGGAGGTGGGTTTCGATAGTGCCTTCTTCTTCGATGTAAGTTTCGGTTCCTCTTCCTCAACGAAATCGTCGTCTTCGAGGCAATTATTACCTGCAGCTGGCTCATCCGTGGGGGATTTGTGCACAAGATCGTCGGGTTGGACTCTGTCAGCCTGCTTCCGACCTTTTTTCTTCCCCTTCACCCGAGAAGACAACTTTGTGCCCTTTTTTCTTACCCTTGCTCGCAGCAACGATGTCTGCGTCCCCGTTTTCGTTTTCAAGTGTGTGCGAATTGTCAATTTCTAGGACGGCGGGCGATAATTGTGCAGAGAATAGAGGAGGTGCTATAATAGAGGACGACAAAGTATCGGGGACGTCTACATCCATCTCTTCGCCATCCATGAACCTCTGACTTGACGCGGGGAAACCTTCTTCCGTTTACGAGTTATCTCGGGTGGAGAAGAGTGCGGGGAAGAGTACGTCTAACTCCTCAGCAACACCATCATGATGGTGCGTCTTTGCCTTGACAGTAAAGATGCTATTCGCACTCACCGCCTTTTTCTGAATGGTATTCCATCAAATGAACGCAAAGTTCGAGTCCTTCAAGTTAGTGAAAGGAGAATCTACCTGACGCAAGAGGTTCTTAACCTGTGCTTCACAAGATATATACTGTGATGATGTGCAACCTGGATGGTAAAATCCACCAATATCCCCAACTTGGGATCAATGCGGAAACAGAAACGACACGAAGGCAGGTTTTTGGTCGGAGATAAATTTGGCACCGGTGCGTGAGGCCAGAATCTTTTTCTGATCCAAAGCATATGCTAATGCATGGAGCTTCATGGACTGCCGGCTTGCCGCCCCTTTCGTATAACCAACATTTTCCATAACAATGTCATGGTTATTGCATGGGATCTCACGCGATCTTCGGATAATTCAGATGCTTGGGATGGAAGATGCCATATTTCTACAGCTCGTGGAATCGCAGGGTTGTGGTTGTAGAATCGGATAAGGCATGCGCACACTTTTCCAGAGAGACCGAATGGTTGAGACATGCTGAGACTAATTTTCGATCAAGACAAATGACCTGATAGAGAGAGAAAAGGAGAGAACGTGACGTCAAATGAGAAGTGGCGTGAGTAAACGGAAAAGCTGATCAGGCGTACACAGACCTGGACCAAGATAGGTCCAGGAATTTCGGTTACCAAACTATAGTGACTCGGAGCAGGGCGCGCGCCGCAGCGCACATATAGCGCGAATGACCGCTATACATTTACCAAGTTCACCTCTCACCCATTCTATAACAGTATGACCATAGTCTCAGATGATCCCACTTGGTGGCCATCCATCGATGTACATCGTTTTGCTAGCTATTTTGCAGGTTCGTGGAGAGCAGTCGGATGTTGAAGCTGATGTCTCAATCTGAACTTGGCTACGGTTTTGCAGTTGCCGCCTTCGTTGGAATAACATATGATTGGGGTGAGCATGATAACATTAAAGGACTGTTGATGTCTCACAAGTATTTTTCAGCACTAACATTCGGACAAGAGGTATGTCAATACTATCACCGGAACCTGTCTTGCTCACAATCCTTTTGTAGGTCGAATTGGTCTGGGTGAGTACAGTCTCATGCCAGAGGGAACACACATGAAAGTACGCTTAATTACAGAGACAACGGTGGTCGCTCGTGACAGTGCTGTATCTCAGTGTATGTAGCTTGTTTGTCGTAGTTGCCATTTTGTGCTGACTTGGAAGTATACTAGGTGCGCTACCTTGGGATCCTATCTGCTGCGTATGTTCGGAAGGCTAAACATTTGGTGTTGTACTAATCGTCTATCTCTTATAATCAGTCTGTCCATGGTCGGTGTGTTTCCTTAGTACATTCACTGTCATCTCTCCTTCTGACCAACGGTATTCAGACAATGTTCCGACCATCTCGCTGACAGATACAGTGAGTCTTCTGTATAAATGCCTGCCATTCCCCTCAAATTAACCGTGGTGTTCTGTAGCAGTGAGTGTGGTTTTTTGCTTACTTCTCAGTCCACTAATGGCTGCCACCGCGCTATGCTACCAAAGATGTGAGTCTATTTGGAGTGTGTGCTATCTTAGACTGGTCACTGATCGGACTTGTCAGGTGGGATGTTGTACACTATATGGGATTGGACGGTTGCTGTGGTATTTTCGATGCTGTGGGGTGAGCTTTGCACTTGCGAGACCTCAGTGATATTGGAATGACTGAAACATGGTGCAAGCCATCATCATCACTCGGTTGCATGCCATGTATCAACGAGACAGAAATATCCTGATATTTCTCATCGTCACCTTCCTGGCGATCACCACTTTTGCTGGAGCGACAGCCGTGGTGTCAACGATGCATACTTCAGGAGGTACGCTTAATTATGGATGAATACAAACGTGCATAGGGCTCATTGATGGACACCAGAGGAACTCATTCTCTCCGGCACCTACCAGTGCAGGATTAACTACACAGGAGATGCCCTAGTTATGGATTCTGCTACTTGGATACTCTACATTGTGTGGGAGGTCCTCGCACTATGTCTCGCAGTCAGGATTGCGGTAAAACACTTCCGTGAACTGCGATTACGTCCGGCAGGAGGGATTATCGGGGACTGTTTTAAGGTGTTGATGAAAACTCATTTGCTTTACTTTGCGAGGTAAGTTCATATTGTGATTATTGCTCCCTTTTTTCACTGAAGGGTCGGACACGATAGCTTTGTTGCTGTCTCTTGCTTCGAGCTCCTTATTATATTCTCTCCAACATCATTTACGGTATGTCAATCTTTTACTTACCTCTACATGTGATCTGGATCTATCATTTCTATAGAACCGATATCTCCTAGAAGATCAGACTTTGTTTGGCTTGTTTCAGATTTTGGAGGTCGTGATGTTCGTGCTAGGACCACGGCTAATCCTTGCCCTTCGAGAATATAATGCTAAACTCGTGGCTGACTCCGACGCAGCAACCCGCATGACCTCAATCGCTTTCCAAGAGCGTGTGCATATATCGACTAGCAGCACCGTGTAATACTCGGTGAAGCTGACGCAAACCGTTGTCTAGTTCTTGCAGGGAGCACGGGAAATTTGTTTTTTGTTTCTATTCCAAGCCTCGTTGCGGTGCTCGAGTAGTTATTTGGTGTCACAAAATAGATGTCAAGTGTAGGCTATATTTTCGTCGTAGTATTATTCGAATCATTTGCTATAGGTCTTGACATTGACCATGTTTTAACCAATGTCCTGTATATCTCTACTGTACCAACGAAGGAAAGCAGTGCCCAGAACGCGAAAGTCGAGGAACGAGAGATGTTTCTAGGTGATGTCGCCGGAACATTGGATGCAAGTTTCTATTTTCTCCTGCTTCTCATCTTCGAGGACATCTCGTGACCCACCTCTCGTCGTATCGGAAGCACTATGGGATATTGACTTTCGTAATATGGTGTGACTGTCTTGTAGCATATATAGGCATCATGTCTTTTCAGGCTTCATGAGCGCACACACATGGACAGTAGTGCACGCGTGTAAGCCAGCTGGCGTGAGTCGAGAATGGTTGAACGTCAAAATTGAATAATGGCATGGTGTAGTATATGAATGAGTTGTGAACGTCTGATACAAACTACAGGATAGGCGGAGTGGTGATTGCGGGCTTTGTTGATCACGCGGCAAGGCCCTCGACATCTCGCGTACTTCGACATTGCTTCGGTTAACTTAAGCATTCTAAAAAGCGGAGGAGGCGCGTCTGGCAGGTGAAGGTGGGCCGAAGAGTCCAGTGCGGGGCATGATGTAAAATTCCTAGGATGGTCGGAACAGATAGAACGGTCAATGATGTGGCTTTGTTGAGCTGCCAAAGCTTTTGAGTTGTACGAGCGTGCTTCAGAGAGCTCAGACGATGCTTCGCCACCGTGTGGAGTGCTGCTGAGCATTGCCGAACAGGGGAATCTGAACATCCAGGGTACTAACATCTGAGCATCGCATACCAAACCTACGCCAACACACCCAGAAAGGGTCATGCAGGGGTCAGCACCAGCGATAGTGCAGGAGTCGAGCATCTGCTGCTTGATGTCAGGTTGTGGAGGTGATGGCGACTTCGAGATAGGGAAGGGTGGATCCCGAGTCGATGTGGTTGGTTGGTGGCAGAGACCTGCTTCTAGGACGTAGCAGCGTTTTGAAACTGATCACATCAAGGCAGCCAAGATGTTCTCAACAAACTTGACAATGGAATCGACGTTTGGGCCATAATCGAGGATTTCGAATTTGGAAGGCGCATGCGAGAATAAGGTTGTGGTCATACTCTGGGGGAGATTTGAGGGCACAAATCGAAGTTAAAGAAGGGAAAGTTCTATGAGCTTTGAAGGACGTGGGCGCGGTTTAGACTTCGGTACAGGTGTTCCTGCGCCATGAGAGAGTAACGGAGAAGGATTTGGTGGTCCAGACTCCAGAGTCATGGTACCCCCGCGGTGTAAACAAAGACTTCACATGCACGTGATCGTCGCGTCAATCGTGGCCCGAACTTCCACCGACAGGTGGTGGCTATTACCATGACCAGTGCCATCATTGTCATCTTGTACTTTTGACGACACATACTACGTTCTGGATCCGTTCCACTCACTTCTTGACCTCTCGCACCACATGTCGTATGTCACTCCTGCGGTACCATGTCGGAAATTTCTAATTTTGGTTGGCATGCCTTTAAATGGATTGGAAGGCCTCAATTTGCCGGCGGCATTACGACTCGCTTGGAAGACAACCCGAAAATTTTGGAAGCCGCTTGAAAGCGATATAGGGGTTCTTGCAAGTGGGTCCCAGGACCATTCCAATGCAAGGGCAAAATTTCGAGCAATATTTATGTACCCTAATCGGGACATCATTGCAAGCGACAAGGTCCTTCCAAGGCCTTAAAATCATCTAAGTCTTTCGAGCAAATTTGGATCATTTTGATTATTTAATATAATAACACTACTAATGATAATATATGAAAATGCCCCCAATCGCATTCCAATCATTCTCATTTCCCCCCAATCTCTCACATTTTGAATTGCGGTCTCCGTCACAATCATAATTTTCTGGAAATGATAATCCCAATGGGGAGGGTTCAGTTGAAGACAATACAGATAGAAGATCAGTCTTACTAACCTTGGACGAATGAATACACAATGGGGAGGCAGACGACGGTACCAAGCTCCAGGAGACGGGAGTGGAGGTAGACAACGGGGTGCAGAGGGCCTCAGGAGACGAGAGCGGAGGTAGATGACGGGGTGCAGAGAGCTCCAGGAGACGGGAGCGGAGGTAGACGACAGGGTGCAGAGGGCCTCAGGAGACGGGAGTGGAGGTGGACAACGGGGTGCAGAGGGCCTCAGGAGACGGGAGTGGAGGTGGACGACGGGGTGCAGAGAGCTTCAGGAGATGGGAGCGGAGGTAGACGACGGGGTGCAGAGAGCTCCAGGAGACGGGAGTGGAGGTAGACGACGGGGTGCAGAGAGCTCCAGGAGATGGGAGTGGAGGTAGACGATGGGGTGCAGAGAGCTCCAGGAGATGGGAGTGGAGGTGGACGACGGGGTGCAGAGGGCCTCAGGAGACGGGAGTGGAGGTAGACAATGAGAGTGGAGGTAGACAACGGGAGCGGAGGTAGATGACGGGAGTGCAGAGAGCCTCAGGAGACGGTCCAGGGAGTGGAGGTAGACGATGGTACAACGTCAATATTTGAGGAGACGTTGGGAGTGGTCCATTGGGAGGCAGATGACAAGACAGTCTAAGGGTGAGACACTTGCAACTAATTGAGAATGCCTGGACCAAAATTGGTCCAGGCTTTCAGTAATAATATCTTTAAAATCTGTCAATGAATCATGTCAGAGTCTGTCAATAATATGGATGAATCGAAATGAAAACAAACGTTGATTTGGACGTCGTCGTTGACGTAATATCAAACTACAGTGACGGTGGTTGAACAAGTTCAGGTCTAAGTGTCACAACGGCTGATTCATAATAACTTATTATATAATATGTTTGTCATTGTTGTCAATGTCTGACATTGTCAGTACTCACCATCCAGCAGTCGCTTATTGGACTTCACAGAGCGTAATATAATAATTATCGTTTTTCTTCCAGTCAAACTGTCTGAGTGAATCACGAGACACATGTAAGCAAGTCACAATCATAGTAAGTATCAACAAATCATCGACAAATCAAAGGACCATTGTCAGTCTTAGACTAATACTATTATTTCTTTGCACGGCCAGACCTTCGCACCAATGCCAGATCCTCGTCAGCAGCACCTAACATTAAATCCTCGGCCCTGGCTCCACCCTTGGTCTTGCGCCTTGGCTTGGGCTTGGGCTTGGGCTTCTGAACGAGAGCACCTGGACCAGACTCTGAATTGTTGGTAAGCATTCCAGGTGCCCGCGAGCCCGAATCGTTGAGTGCAGGCGTAGGTGGCAATAGCTCGCGGTCCTGTGAATCTGCTACAGCAAGACCTTGCATAGCCGCAGATATAGATTCAGGTGCAAGAATATTAGGTGCATTCAAGTTGGCGACACGACGGACAGCTGACGGTGGGGTATCTTCTTCGTCAGTGAGTGGTGATATGGCTCGGGGAGCATCAACTTCTGGCAAATCACCCCCCGTTTCCATCACACACTCGAAATCCTCTTCCCAGGTATTGTGTGGACCGCTGCTCACACCTACAAAGTCTGAGCCCAGAGCAGCTACAGAGGAAGAAGTAGCAAAGAGGGAATTGTTGAAGAAGGTGTAAATGCTGTCGGCCCAGGCGCCGCCGGTCATCAGAGTTTGACGGTAGTAGTTATGGTACTCTTTGTACGAGATTCAAGACTTGTCACCTATCTCGACTAGCTCTTTGTCGCCAGAAAGAATAAAGATAGCCTGCAGCCTAGTTTAGTACGTGTTCTGCAAGGTAGATTTAACAAACGTACAACAATTGCTGCTGCTGCGATGAGGCCTGGAGTTATGGCACGTAACTCCCATATCTTAGCTTTGGTTTTAGGCGTTGGAGGCGCATTGGCAGCTAGCGAGGATCGGCCAAAAAGAGACGCTTTCAAGATCTACTCAGACTATTCAGGATGTGTGTGTCAGAAAGGAGAAGAACATACATAAACGAGCTTTGATGTTTTGAAAAAGTCTTCTCGGGAGACACGATCTGGATGAGGGAAGAGAACTGGTGCAAATTTCGTGTATGCACCTTGAGGGTTAAGGAGCAAGGTGCGACATGCAGGCTCCAAATCCCGTGCATACCCTCGTATGAAGAACTTTGCGTCGAGATTGAAAATGGCGGCTGCGCATGACTTGACATCAGAAACCATTTCGGCACGAACACTATTGATGCCTTTGACAAACTTAAAAGACGATCAGCAGGAATGATTCACGATTCGTACACTGATGTACTACTTACATGGGAACCGAAGTTCTTATGGGCCATCATGTTGTGGTCTGCTGGCAGAATAAAAAGAAAGATTTCGGCTTTGATGCCATCCTAGGAGGTGGCGCATGCAAGGGGAAAATGATGGTATCGACCCAGAGGCAGTGTGTGACAGAAAACTTGCGTCCGTAGTTCTTGATGGTATCTTCCTTGGCGGCGAGTGCGAGGTCCTTGTTGGTGAGCTTTGTCTTCCGACCTTTTGAAAGTGTAGCCTCAAGGAGAGCGTTCTTCTTCAGAGCCTCCCGGTACTTTCCTCGCATATCTAGAAGTAGCCTTTGTGCAAGTTCGAGTGCCTAATAGAGACGATTGATCAGCTGCTGTCGTTCATTCACAACATAAAGACTTGCCTTGCGAAGATCTTCGGCTGATGCATTGAGAGGAGGTGCTGCGATTGCAGTACAAACACGCAATAAATCGGAATCGTCGTTGGACTGGTCACTGTCTGAATCTGTCGAGTCAGCAGTGGAGCTGCTATCTATATTCTGAATATCTTGAGTAAAGTCTTCGCCTTGGGCGCGCTGAGGCATGGCAGTTTAGAGAATGTAATGAAGAGCAAGCTGGGAACATCTGAATTAGTCGAACACACTTTAAATCAGCACTGTTCGGGTAGTGTCAGACCCTGTTGATGTAATAAGATGGTAGCAAAACACGTACCCTTATCAGAAACATAATATAACCATCGCATATCCACTTGGAAGCGATGATTAATGAACAAACTGACCTCGTGCTTCCAAGACCTTGCACAGTGACGAAAGAGGAGAATGAGGGTGGCGGGTGTCTGGAGTACGTGGTATTGATATAAAAGGCAGGTTCAATAGGCGAGATTGAGAGTAGTGAAGGTGACAGATGCCGTGGAATTTGATGTGGTGAAGAGCGTAGATAAGCAACTAGCTGCTCCAGGATTTGTTGGAGTAAGTGTCATCACAGATAACCTTGGATGCGAGCATGAAAGCGGATACGAAAAGAGGGTGACTGTATCGTCACAGATAACCTTGGATGCGAGCATGAAAGCGGATACGAAAAGAGGGTGACTGTATCATCACAGATGACCTTGGATGCGAGCATGAAAGTGGATATGAAGAGATGGTGACCCAAAGATGCCCAAGTGGTGGGAGCAGCGAAATTGATGGAGGACTGGATTTTTGTGTGGGGAAGGGCAATGCGACAAAATGAGGGAGCTTTGCTCATCAGTGGGAGTTGGATGGGGGTGGAGGTAATACCAGGTGCACAATGTTGGCATGGGCGATGGAATGGGGGAGCTTCCTTGCCAATGGGGTAGTACTCTGGACAAGCAAAGAGATGGGTGATGAGCCGGATGCACAACCATTAGCATATGCAATGAAATGAGGGTGCTTACTTGGGGATGAAGGATGCTCTGGGCAAGCAAGCAGACTGTGTCCAACGCTGATTTGTTGGAGTAAGTGTTGTCACAGATAACCTTGGATGTGAGCATGAAAGCGGATATGAAAAGATGGTGACTGTATCGTCACAGATAATCTTGGATGTGAGCATGAAAGCGGATACGAAAAGATGGTGACTGTGTTGTCACAGATGACCTTGGATGCGAGCATGAAAGCGGATATGAAAAGATGGTGACTGTGTCGTCACAGATGACCTTGGAAGCGAGCATGAAGGCAGACCAAAGAGATGATGGCCCAAGGATTCCTGCTGGAGGAGGGAATGATAAGTTATATAAGTTTCCTTTGGACGCGAAGAAACATGTCAGTATCGATATAGTCAACAAGAAAATAATCCCCATTGTTGTCAAAATCTGGGACAAGCAAAGCACCACAAATAATTGAATGAAGGGTGATGAATTCAGATGAAGCTGCGGGCTGTGCACGCAGACGAGTGAGTCGCAGGTCTCGATCTAGGAGGCGCCGACGTGGTGAAGTGTCCATGGGAAGAACCAAAGCGAGATCTAAGGTGCGGTTGCCGACAATGTGCTTGAACATGAATAATAATTTAACAAAGATATTTTTATCGCAGCCATCCTTGTCCTGCGTGCGGATTAGAGCGCAGTCACGACGCTCATGGCCATGAAAACTTGGACTGCATCGCAGATAGTCGGTGGTTAACTTCCAGGTAGCGGTCGACTCATATTGGACTTTGAGATAGCGATGTTCATGTATCTTTTGAAAAAAATGCAGCATCAGAGATTCAACTAAAACTTCAGAATGAAGGAAATTCACCAGGTCTTGCGCTGAAAGTTTCAACCACATTATTCTGTCTGGTAATGGTACGTGGTGGGAGGGTAGGAAGTGATTCAAAAATGTTGTGAGCTTCTTCCTGAACTGGTCGAAGGCGCGATTTGACCTGTGTTCTTCCTCTACCTGTGCTAGGCTGGTAAGATTCCTCAAGGGCGAACCGATATGCAGGTGAGCTTCAAATGGCTCATTGTCGTTGTCGTTTTCCTCGAGTTCTTCCCGTGAGAGTGTAAGTTTGTGTCGTTCCTCGTCAAGATAGTCGATATGGCTGCGAACAAATTCGGCAACAAAGCTCTTATGATCGAGTTCGATAATCTATGGTATACACGAAGTTTAAGTTATTGATGGGAAGTAAACTTTCAGAGTAGGCGATGTCATACCTGATTAGCAATGTCCTTACGATTAGTCTGCCGTAGATACCAACGCTTGATTGGTCCATGCTGCTTTTCATTCGGTCGAGTACTGAAGTTGCGAGCGGCACCTTTCGCTATGATGTCGTCAAATATGTGCTTTGAGGCGTGCATTTTGGGGAAATTCCAGTTCTTAATTGTATCTGGATCAGTCTCATCGACAATTGCAATGTATTCCTATGATATAATGCTATTGTCAGTACACTACATTGACCGGAGACACGGAATCAACACAACATACTTCTAAATGCGTCTGAAATTCCAAAACCTCGGCTTTTCCTGCTTTGATTGTGCTCTCTGTGTGCACATCGAGAGATACATACATGTCGATATGGAGATAACTCGCTATGCACCGTAAAAGTGCATAGCCAGCTTCATCATCCGTGCGCGTCAGTACATTCTGGGTGGTATATAAAATTTGCTATCGAAATCAAATTTAAGTGGTCTGTCAATGTCAAATCAACGTGTCGTACCTTAGAAATGTCCCTAAGTTTATTACCGTCGCTGTAGGTAATGTTAGTAACTCGATCGAAATGATTCAAATTGCGCCATCGTGTGAAGGTAGCAAATCTATAGGCAATTGAATAGTCGGATTCAGATGGTGAGCAGATTGGTACGATAAATCAACTCACTGGTCATCAATCTTTTTCTCAGCACCACGTCCCAGAGCCGCTGCGTGTCGTTTAAGCTCACCAAATAAATGTTTCCCCCATTCCCCTATATGATACACGTGAAGGTGGTCCTGCGAGATCGTTTCGTGTGGGTTGGAATTTGGGAGCCGCCAAAAGACATTCTACAATAAAGAAAGTCAGATTCAATCAAGAATATGATAATGAGTACCGGCCATAACTGGCCGAAGGCCCCGTTTTTTCAATGCCTCTTCTCCAGCCGTTTTGTCCCTATTCCATAGTTCTACGCAAGCTTGTGCGTCTTCGGGCGTTCGGATTGGATAAGTTGAAGCATTGTCGTACAGCTTATCGGATGGGACAAGGCAAATAGGACATGGGCAATGACAATTCGTCCCCCGTATCAGTGCCATGACACATCTATCGTTGACCGATCAGAAATTTGTCTACAGAAATTAGTATACAACATACTGTTCCTCATAGTCAGCAGATAAGAGCAAAATGAATGCATACAACCACCTAACGATACCATCATAACAGAGATGCGCATACCCTGTCTTGGCGTAGAGTATAATGGTTTCGAGCAGCTTAAAAAACCCTTCATGCCATACAACACGTTTGAGGTTCACGTACAACAGCTTGCCGTCCTCTTCAGAATCGTCGGGAACCTGTGCGAAAGAAACTCAGGAGTAACGAGACTGGTTTCAGTTCCTAAATTTAAAGACATACTATTGGTAACCAACCAACCATCTGCCCACCACCAAGCCCATCAGTGTTTCTAATGTCAACGGGCAAGTTTCCACAATGAGCGAAGACCGGATAAGCTTTGACTGTACCAGCGGAAGAGAGGTGCGTCTTGTCTGCATACAGAATAAATGCAAAAGGGACGGTGTTTTCAAGTAAAGATGACTGTAATACATGCAAGAAAGGATATTGTTTAACGAATGATAGTACAAAAAATAAGTCATACTTGGACATTCCACCAGCAATCCGCAGTCCAAGGTTCATGGTAAAAGCGCTCGTAACGTGTCCCATCGTGTTTATATACCCGCTGCGCATCCCAAACGAAGTGCGGCGCCAGCAATGGGTCCTGTAATAAGTCCAAAGCCCAGTCCCACAATGGGCGTGTATATACATGAAACGCAAGGTCTTCCCGTTTATGCCGGGTTGTGATAGTATGCTTCTCGAACTGTAAAGGTATTGGTAGCTACAAAAGGGAAATGCGACATTCTCCTCTTACAGGTGTCATCTGGCCAGCCGCCCTATCCCAGGCTACAGAAACATCGCGGTGGGACTTGAAGGTAATGTTTGCTTGACCATCAACGATTCTCCAGATGAGTTGTAATAGCGCATCTGTGTGGTCCTTGTTAAGGGCAGCATTGTGTGCAAGTTCGGCAAATTCAAAGTCTGCACGACAGCTGAATGGCTGCCAAGGTTCTTCGTCAATGATAGGCGGCTGCTGATCTTGGTTGCATCCGAACGTAGAGAAAGTCTCGATGGAGGTTGCACGACCAGATTTTGGGTGATACTCCGTCTTAAATGTATCGAGATCAGAGTGAACCGAAGGTACCACTGAAAGCGAGGATAGAGCAAGGGGTGTGGGAGCATGAGATGCCATGCTGGAATCTGAACCTGCACCTGAATCGTGAAAAAAATGGATGAGGAGCGCATTGTGATCAGTCAAAGTACATACGTTGCCATGAGTCTCCACTGATGCTCATCACATCAACATCTGGTACCATTTCAAATGACGGGCCCACGATAAATTCATCGGGCGCATTCTCTGCGCGATCCTGGAATGACGTTGAAGGGTCTGACGATGGGGAGCCAATATTATGTGTCGCAGCTGCTTGTTCCTTGAGAAGACGCTTTCTCTTTCGACGTAACTCTGATGATTGTGTGGTAAGAGATATTAGTACTATTGCTTTAAGTCGATAGAAGCACAATTCACCACATACCTTTCTGTTTGATTTGCTCCTCAACCGCCTGTGCTGCGAGCACTGCAAACTCATCATCATCCTTCTTTTTCTCTCGTCTTCTCAAACAACTTTGCTCGTGAGATCGTATCCCGCGAGACGAGAATGACTTATCGCAGTATTGACAATGAATTTGGTTGTTGGAGGCCGAGGGTATATTTAGTACATTGACAGTATACTTGCGTCGCCTGGCTGGACCATTTGCGACGCTTCTGCTTGGCGCTGTCTTCTTAGATAGATGATCTATAGATAAACACCTATAAAAACAAATATCTCCACGGTCAGCGATTCAGACAAATACCAATGACTGATAACGTGGTCGTTCGTGGGTGGCTAGTTGTATACTACCCAAAGTACGTTCAGCTAAAGATACTTCTGCAAGATCAGTAAATACGATGGTCAATCCAATCTATGGACTTGACAGAAACAAACAAACAAACAAATAATGGTCAGCCCGACAGTATGGCAGTAACCAAAGAAATAGAAAGTTCTTCCTCAAGCTTCCTTTCAACAACAGTGCCTCTTACCAAACTGTACTCCAAAAAGAATGGTGCGGAATTACAATGATCAACCCCCTCAGCACAAAACAGGTAGAATCAAAGGTCAAGACTAGTCAAATGCTTTATTGTAGAACTCTTAGCTCAATATTGAACCTGCTGTCAAGGAACTCACTTTGAGTATTCAAACAGACTCAGGAACGGACGTCCTTGGATTTACTACCAAGTCCCCTCTTCAACAGCTAAAGCCTAGCAGGCACAGAAAACCTTGGCTCAGTATCACTACTCAGATGAGTGAGGTCAAGCTTCACTATCAATCCCTTAAGTCTCCCCACTAAGCTACTCTGAGTCTTAGGTGGACGTAGAGACAACACGAATATTTTGGAATATGCCTTTTGGAAAGAGAACACCAAAGGCTGGTGAAAGTAAAACAAAAGAGAAAAGAAAAGAAAATAGAAATTTGAATAAAACTGTGGCTGTACCTTGCTTGCTGGTTGTTGCACACAGTGAGCTCGCAGCTAGTCGTTTAGTATGATGAGCTTGCAGTATTACTGTCTCTTGAGAATGTTCCTCTCAGTCTTGAACAGTTCTTGACACTGATGCTGAC